TAAATGGAGTTGACGCAAGAGTAGCATTTGATTATTTGATTATGAATAGCCAAAAGGTCCAAGGTCTATAGTACAAGAGGGTGTTACAGTGAAATTGTTAGGCAAAGGCATAGCCAGATCCAGGCCAAGACAAACCAAGTTCTAGACTAAGTCCGGTCCAGAACTTAGAACACTACAATGTTCCTAGACTCAGGCAAAGGTTAGCGTTTCTAAGAAGTCACATAAGGAACAAATCAAAGCACACCATACCATGGAAACAAGAGTCAGTTTTGTTGCAATGGTCTATGTGGCCACTACAGCAGGCAATAAATAGCTTGTTCCTCTCCCAGTACTTCCTAAAACCTGAAGTCTACTAAAATTCAGTGGCTCAGTGAGATAGCAGTGAAGCACAGATTATAGCTGCGAATAATAGACCACCATTTCTTGTTATAAAAGCACACAATTGAAATTAGAATTTAAACTGATTAAATCACACATGTTGACTTTTTAATTATTGTTTCAAGCTGCTCTTGCTTGCGTTCTTTCTAAATTAGGTACTATTTGGTTTCTTTGGCAGGTAAGGGATCAAAGCAGGAAGAATCAGCTTTGATGGAATTGCTCATTTCTAGCTCATGCTTCATTCTTGATTATGCTGCTGCTCTCCTTCATCCTTCTAAACTTTCTGCCAAATCCCTCCAAAGGCTGACTAGGGAGGCACACTATCCTAGGAAAACCTTAACAATTGGATATCATGAACTAGAATCAAAATCATACTCCTGGGTTTCTAATGAAATGATTTCTCTGACTGTTGGATACTTTCTATTGGCAGATGGATGGGAAACAATCAGGATAGGAATGACCACATGTGGATTGTCCATGTATCTGTATTATCATCACTATCTCTAAAGCTTTAAAAATGTTCTGCCCAATTCTGTGTTCTCAAAAACAATGATTTCCCAATTAGTTTGGAGACAGTTGATATTTATAAAGCTTGTTACATACACTAGAAACCCCAAAGCAATGATGACAAAAATAGATTTAAGGGAATTAGAGCAATGACAGATTCCAGACAATAGTTGCTTCTTTGGGAATCCATGACCAGAACTTAATAAACAAATTGGAAATCAGAGTATCACACCATGTAGGGTAGACATGAGATGGAAGGCATATTCTGATCAAGAATAGGAAAGATCCAAATACAACAAAATGGTACAAAAACAAAGAGAATGTATGCTGCCAAGAGCATCCAGTAAAGGAGGCAGGAAATGGATACCTTACTGGAATAACAGTGGGCTATTTTTTTTTAGTCAAGTGAGGGTACTGCTATAGTATTGGGACTGAACAAGGAAAACAGGAAAAAAATACAAAAATCATAAGGAGTTTGTAGTACCTTCTGTGTGTAACCAGCAGGATTAAAGTTACATTACAGTATGCTAGCTGAAGTGACTTATAGGCAACGTAGGTGGCAACAACCTTTGGAAGCTATGCAAAAGAGGGAACTTCAAGCATTGTAGCTGTGTAACAAGTGAAACTACAAAGGAAGGTCCTCAGTTGAATTCAGTCATCCCAGTTGCAGCTTTAGTGCAGCCTTCCCCAACCTTGCCTTTTCCAGAAGTGCCTCAGCTCCCATGATGCTGACTGAGGGAGCTGTACTTCACCATGCTTAGAGAAACCAACCTGAAAAGCCTAATAGATAATGTTAGCTATAGAATTAGGAAAATCTAGCAAAAAACTGAAAAAGTACTGGCAAGACATGCAATCTTCAGTTTTCAGTTAGCTCATGTTATAACTATTTGCTCTGGCTTCTTACACAAAGTTGCAGTCAGCTTCTAGATTGCTTCTAGAGAAGCATCAAAAAGGGAGAAATGAAATCTAGTCCTTATGTATATATATCCTTAGAGTAGAGGGAAGGCTACTCTCTCCAAGAAATTTAGCCAGTTCCTAGTATGTTTCTTTCAAGGCAGCAAGAAAAGAAGCACCATGTTACATACATAAGAGATAACTAAAGATCTCAAGTTCAGGTGGAACTGAGGAAATGCATTTAAATTAAAACTTCATAGCCTTTTTTGAGATAGATTATGTTGATTATATTGGCTGAGTGGCATGCCAAAGATCATACTCCCAAAATAATAAAGTTGTTTTATTTTCATTTTAATCTAAATGTTGTTGCATGTAAATTAATTGTTTCCAAGAATTTAATGAATTTTGGTCATGTTAAAAAGTAAGTTTTGTTACCTGCCCTTAGTATTTCCAAATAGATAGGATATACATAAAATAAACCAAGCAAAATGGTAATTCAGTCAAAATCTTCAGAAGGATGCAAGATTAGAGGAGAAGCACAGGCAGCCTATACATCTCCAGGTTTAATGTACCTGGAAAAGTAATTTAGGAATTTATTTCGACTAGTTTACTTTTGCTAAAACATAACAGATGCCTGCAGCAAACAAAATCTTAAGAAACAATTAGGGCCCCCAACAAGGCAGATTGGGGTGCCAAACATTTCTAGAAGGGGATCTGCTCCCATTAATTTCTATTTTTGAAATGTTGAAAAATTGGGAAGCTGTTATGCTGAAAACAAAACATTGAGAATTATCTTTCAATTGTGGCGAATATTTGTAGCTCTGGTGTAGGATGAGGATGAAGGTTCGTTCTCCGAGCTTGTGGGTTGGTTTCTACACATTTCATTACCAGGCTAGTTAACATCTTCAGTGGAGATTAGGGGATGTCAATGTCAATTTTCTTCTGTTTATAAGGGCTTCAGGTGTGGGTGTGTCAAGTGAAGTTCTTGTGACTCATACAAGACCCATCACAAGAACCTCACTTGACACACCCACACCTGAAGCCCTTATAAACAGAAGAACTTTGACACTGATATCCCCTAAACTCCGCTGAAGATGTTACCTAGCCTGGTAACGAAACATTTGGAAAACAATCCACAAGGTCGGCGAATGAATCTTCACCCTCAATTACATTTCACTTCCAGGAGTGCTTCCCTGCTCCCAAGTTTCTTAAAACGTAACTATGGCTGTAAGAAGGAAAGTCAATGTAGAAATGAGAAGAGTCCAGTAGAAGTAGCCTAGGAGGAATATCAGGAAACATGTTGGTAAATATAAGCTTTATAACTGGTTAGAGCCATCTTCTCCATGAGAGCCATCTTCTGAATGGATAAAGCCTTCTCAACTGCTATTTAGCTGGAGTTGCAAGTGAAACAATACTTCAGCAACACACTCAAAACAGAACCAGGAATCCGTGAACTCCTTTCCCCTGATAAATCCTATCTGAACAATTATTTGAAAATACAACTACATTGTTTGAAGAATAATTTGGGGTTCCATGAGCTGGGATGCATAAGAACAAATCAAAAATGAAATCCAGACATACTGTAAGAAAGGAGATTCATGTTATTCCCAAGAACAAAAAGATTGTTTTTAGCTCCAGAGGAAATGGGAGTCCAGAGACAGGGTTTTATAGGAGAACTGGTCCTTGGTGTGAACTGGGGTGGGGGGAGGAAGTTGTACAAATTGGGATGCTCTTTCCTGAGCTTTGATCCTGAGGTGCGGTGTAAAATCCAGAAAGGAAGCTTACCCTCTGATAGGTAGATTCCCTCTGGCATCTCCCTTTATCATAGCGGGATTCCTGCCTCCCCATGAAGCCAGTGAGGTGCTAAAAGGACGGGCCGGGAGGAGCAAATCAGAGGCCTTTTAACTTCTAGCAACATTTTTTAGGATTCCTTGGAAACCAGTAAGAAAATAAAAGGCAGATTTCTGTTATGTGAGGCTCAAGTGGGAAGGTAGTACAGGCGCCTCCAATTCTTTCAAGCAGACTGTTCTTCCTCAGGCAGCAAGGACCAACTAGCCCAGAATTTGTGTGGTCTGAGTCTGTAAATATCCCTTGGGCCTGCCTGCTGTTCAGCAAGGATAAAATCTGTTGGCTCCAGAATGTTCTGCAGGGAACACACTAAACCTCTATGAGGTTATTCTCTCTTCCCCCACATTGTCCTTTTTTGTAAGGAGGATGCCAGCTGAAAACATCTGTTCCCTCTTTCGGTACCTTCCTTTATTTGTAAAACCTTTTGCTCTTTGCTCCATTTGTCACTTGTTTCTGTGAAAATATAGTGTAATATAAAGCCTTAATTAAGGTGTTAATTAGTGGTACACTATTAGTTGCAGTAAGCCCCTCCTCCTAAATACTGAGATTTATTAATGCCATAAAATTTCATTTAATTGCAGATCAAATCGCTTCCTCCATGATTTGCCACAAACTTTTTATCCCTTACCAAACACATGCTTTTTCTTTTCTTTTCTTTTGCACCTATGAACCTCCTTTGCCCACTTTCTCTCTGTTCTGAAGATAGCCAGATTCCTTTTAGAACATTGATAAAGCAGAATAGAATAGAATAACAGGGTTGGAAAGGACCTCGCAGTAGGTCATCTAGTCCTGGCCAAGCAGGAAAAACTTATACCATTTCTGACAGATCTCTTCTTGAAAGCATCCAGCCATGAAGCTCCCACAACTTCTGAAGGCAAGCCGTTGATTGTTCCGTCAGAAAATTTCCCTTTTATTTACATAAAGCAATTTATTCCCTTCGAATGCTATTTTTATTTGCAGCCAATTTGTTAGCTGCACCAAGCCAGTCCTGTGCAAATAATCATACCGTTAATTGGACATTAACAATGGGGCTCAGTTTCTTTCCATATAAGCTTAGTTTCTTTCCATATAGCGCCCGATGAAGGGAACGCAGTCTCTTTACGCACGTACAACCGTGTATGTTACTACAGCCCATCATATTAACTATAAAGTAGCCGCTCCGAAGGGATGCTTCGATCTCCTCAGACCCCACTCCGGGGCCTCTTTCCTCTCCGGTCAATCCCCTCAACCGCCCGTTCCCTCGCCCCCCCCCCCCCCCCCCCCCCCCCCCCCCCCCTTTTGGGACCAACTGCCCGGCATCAGACAGCCAAAAAAAACCCGTTACGGGAAGCGCCTCCTCCCCGTTTGCCACGCCCATAACCCCCACGTGACCACCGGGTCCGCCAATGGCGGCCCGAATGGCTCCTTCCCTTTGGGCCGCCTCGCTGCAGTTACAGCCGAGAAGTCGGTAGCGAAGGAGTCTCCGCCGCTGGGCTCCAGGGCGATGGTTCGCGGCCTGCCGAGGTTGCGCAAGTAGCCGGGACGAGACGAGAGGCGAAGCGGTGAGTGGAATGGAGTGGAGTGGGGAAGAGGGCGTTACGAGCTCGACCCCCGCTCCTTTTAACCCGTTGGGAAGAGCGGGGGAGGGGGGGGGAGGCGCGAGAAGAAGCTCAGCCGCCGAGCCAGGCCGAAAGAAGGAGGAGGATTTGGCAGCTGCCCATCCTTCCTCGACTCTGGTCCTTCTGCTTCGGCCCTTGGAGATGAGAAACTTCCTTCGGGGCCGCCGCAGGGCCCAAAGGAAGTCCACAAAATCGCCCTCGGCGTCCACGAGGACCGCCGGGCTTGGAGCAGCCTCTGCTGTATTTTATATAGACCAGGGGTCTCCAACCTTGACAACTTCAAGACTTGTGGACTTTAATTCCCAGAATTCCACAGCCAGCTTTGCTTTGCTGGCTGTGGAATTCTGGGCTGTGGAATCCTGGGAGTTGAAGTCCACAAGTCTTAAAAGTTGCCAAGGGTTGGAGACCCCTGATATAGACCTCCTCTGTCAGTCGGTCCAAGAGCGGAGCCCATTTTCCGCTCTCCGGATCAGGCTGGCGCCATCCGCTTCTGATTGCAGCCTTGTGAGCAAAAATGTGGGGCTGGGGGCGGGGAGGGGAGGGGGGAATTCCCAGCGCTTTTTGTTCGCTCGTGTGCTTTTCTGATGTGTACGTGTGTGTGTGTGTACGTGTGTGGGAGAGGTGTTGGGGGAGTGGGATTATTCACCCCACACTCTTTATTTTTTTTTATCTTGTGTTCGGAACAGAGTCGGGCAATGACCCTGGATCTGGACTTAAATAAACAAGCCCGAGTCCTGGGTACGATTGCGGTGATCATATTTTCCTGAAATACAAATGAAATAAAAGGACAAGCCTGAAACGCAGGCAGATTTGGGGGGGGGGGGTGTTGGTTCATAAGGATTAAAAAAGGTAATCGTTTAGGTTGATAACTGCCAAAGGAAATTCGAGAGCTCAGGAAGGACAGGAAAACTTGACAAAAGGGTATTCTAATAATGTCTGAAAAGTGTGACAAGGTTCGAAGTCACAAGAAGCAAATAGTAAAAAGCGTTTCCGCAATCTGAATTAAAAGGCACTGTTGGGTACAGTAAAAGATAAATGACTAAAATAAAGGAGGAAAGAAAATTTTTGAAAAAATCTAAAGGAAGGCTTCTGAAATAAAAGGCTGTCCTTTATCTACCTGGGGCCACTCTAGATTTGATGTGCGACAAGCTTGGAAGAAATAACTTTTTTTTTTAATTTGATTTATATGCCCCCCTTCTCTGGAGACTCAGAGCAGCTTACAATGCGTTAAGCAATAGCCTTCATACTTTTGTATATTTTTTACAAAGTCAGTTTATTGCCTCCACAAACTGAATCCCACTTTGAGCCTGGCAAGATTCGAACTTACTAATTGCAGACAGCTGGAGTTAAATTACAATGCATTAGTCTGCTGACCTATCCAGCCTCCTCTTATTCTTAATATTTATTCTGAATATTTAAATTATCCTCAGTTCATTTCTCCTTTCTTGACATCCTTTCAACATCTGTTCTGCAAAATAAAGTATAGGTGTTTGATGATTTACAACCTTTTGGCTGGAAGTTAAAACAGTGCTGAAAGAAGTGGCTTGCAACCCTTCCTTGCACTTAGGTGCTTGGCAATCAGCATGTGTTTACAATGGTTGCAGTGCCCCTGGATTGCGAGATTGCCATATGTGACCTTCCTAGCTGATTTCCCAATAGGGCAAGCAAGATTTGCTTAGTAACCAATGTGATTCATGGTCATATAGCAAAAAAGATTGTAAAATTGAACACAGCTCAATTAACTGCCCTGCTTAGCAACATAAATTCTGGCCTCAATTGTGCTTGATAGTTGAAACTTACCTGTAGTCATATGGTCCCAAATAGCATGAATTCATTTATGGCTGTCTTGTCAGAATATTCATGACTGGGAAGACATGGTAACAAGGTCAGCCAATGAATAGGCATAGCAACTAAGTCAGCCAATGGGAGCTAAAACAGTTTTGGAGGCTGGGCGTGGCTCAGCTCTGAGTCTGAGAAGGAGAAACTGAAACCAGTGTGTGTGAGCTTGTCTGCTGATCTGAGCTGAAATGAAACTCTGAATCTGCTGTTGGTATTGTAAACGTCATGTATTATTGTGTATATAAAGAAGTTATTGAATCCTGCTGCATCAGTTTATCTGTGTGTGCTTCTGGATTTGTTTTTTGCAACGAACTCTGATATGTCTGTAGTTTTGCCTATCTTTCTGTCCTCCTAAACTGCTTTAAAATTCTAATCTCTGAATTGTGATCTGCTTTTCTGGTATCTGTATGGTCTTGTACAAATGGAAACCTCGACTTGGGACTGTATCTCATAGGACCACATGGAATAATACATAATTAGATATACGTGCTGCAAGGTACAGGTAGTCCTCAACTTAAGACCATTTGACTCAAAATTTCCATTGTTAAATAAGGCAGTTCAGTGAGTTTTGCCCCATTTTACAACTTTTTTTGCCACAGTTAAGTGAATCACTGCAGTTATTCAGTGAATCATACAGTCATTAATGGAATCTGGCTTCCTCCATTGACTTTGCTAGTCAGAAGCAGCTGGGAAAGTTACAAATGGTGATCACATGACCCTAGGAGAGTGCAACTGTCATAAATACATGTTAGTTACCAAGCACCCAAATTTTGATCTCATGACCATGGGGTTGCTGCATTGGTTGTAAGGGTGAAAACTGGTTATCACTTCTTTCAGGGCCATTGTAACTTGAATGGTCACTGAATGAATGGTTGTAAGTTGAAGACTATCTGTATGTATAAAGTCTGGATGTCAGAGAAAGGATGTCTAGAATTCTTATCAATTACTATTCAGTGTTCCATATTTAGGAAGTGTTTTTGTATGTGTGTATGTCTGTGTGTGCTGAAGCATCTGCTCATTCTTCAAAGTTGTATAAGCTTTATCATAAAGTTATGATGTAGTTCTGTACAATGTTTGTATCTGTACTTCACACTATTTAAAATCCTATACCTATAATTGCATTTAATTGTATCTTTGTTTACCTTTGTTTCTCTTCTTCCTCTCCTTTTTTTCTGTCTCCCACTCTTTCTCAATTAAATTCTTTATAAAAATTATGTATTGTTTTTTATATCAATATAGGAAAAGTTAAAAGTAAATAGCTACTATGTATTGTAATTTACAAAGAGATTGGTAATTGGCAGTACTGTATATATCTACCAATTTTAATAAACTTTGAAGCACTAATGTCAGTGTATGAGAGTTCATAGACTGAAAGAGACATAGCAACAGATCAGTCAATGGGAGCTGATTGGTGACTGAAACAGTCTGGAGTCTGGGCGTGGCTTAGCTCTGCAGCTCTGAAACTGAAACAAGTCTGCTTAGCTCTGAACTGAAACTTAACTCCTTTGCTTGTACTTGGAGAACCTGCTTGTGTATTGTATACTTACTTCATGTAAGTATACATGTGTTATATATAAAGACAAGTTTCTTATATGTAAAATGGAATCCTGAATCATTTACTTGTGTGTGCTTTATGGAAGTGATTGCTGCTGCAAACGCTGACAAATTATAACTGAACAGTTCTTTTTATTTTATGTAATAGTTGAACTGCATCATATGGGCAGAGTTTGTGTGCCCAGTCTGCAGGAGAATGTAGTGTTGTCACATATATGAACATAATTTCCTACATGCATATTTCTTGGCAACTTTGAGTTGTATGTTGAGTACTCTTGAAAACATATTCTAGCATTTTGATGCCCGTTAAGTTAATACTTTTCTATAAATAGTAGTAGAAAGAAGAAGAAGCAGCCAGAACAATGTTCTTAAGGAAATTCCTCAATTGCTCTCAAACACATACCAAGGAAGCCTTTGTTATTATTGTTTTCCTGTGTCATATAACATGTTACTTTTTCACAGAAATTATAAAATACCTAATAAGCATCTTTTGCAAAATCACTCCTTTCCCACTTGAATGCTTGCAAATGTAAATATTTAGGAAAGAGGTATCTTATAGTCAATATAAGGAAAAAAGTATTGGCAATCAAACATTGCAACATGGGATTGGCTTCTAAAAATAAATGGAATAAATTTCATGTAGCTTTTTTTTCAGTAGAGAAGATTAGACTACTGGCTAAGACTACTGTCTTAGCCATTCCCATGCCACACCCAGCTTTCCCTGCTAACTATAAGAACAACATCAGTCAATGCTGGCACATTTTAGCCAGTATGCCTCAAATGAAATTTTAAAAAACAGCTTTACACAAACCTGGCATACTCCTGCAACAGGAAGGGCCTACTTCGGAGCCCATCAGTCAAAGAATTCCATTTGCCGGGATCCAGAAGAAAAGCCTTCTCTGCCTCAGCGCCCACCCTTTGCCCTCCCCACCCTCCTATTCTTCCACAAGAGCCTAAAGACCTGGCGCTGCTGGTTGGCCCAGGATCCAAATAGGAGAGTTTCACACTATGGTAACTGCTAGATTGATGGCAGATCGACTTCCTCTCCCATTACACTCTGCTCTCTATCCATCCATCTTTCTTTTTTGGTAATCATATCCTGTAGTTGTATTTCTTGTTGTATTATTTTTCATTGTTTATTTTATTGCTCTATTATCTTTTGTTCATTTCTTCCTTTTTATTTCATTTTATTTTCATTTTTCTTCCTTTCTTCTTTTCTAGGCTACCGCCTAGAGTAGCCCCACGGTGAGATTGGCAGCAAATAAAATTAACAAATAAATATTCAGTCTGTTCTGTGCAAGATAGGATATCTAACTTAGCAATACTGTACTCTCTTTTTACAACCTTGTAGCCCCTCTTCAGGATAACCTTATAAACCAACAAACAAGCCCGCATTTAATGTATTTATGGATAAATGTATAAGAAATTGTTGTGAAGTTGGAGGTTTTCAGGTTAGGAATGTGAATGTGCACCTTTTGTATAATTATTATGTAATCTTGGCTGACATGATTTGCAGCATATTTTAAACCATATAATGCCGTGAGAAATATTTTAGATGCAACTGTATTATGCATTATGGAGATATAAGAGCCTGAGTGGTACAACAGACTAATGCTACTGTTAAAGGTAGTATTTAGCTTCCAGCTGCCTGCAATTACTGCAAGTTCAATTCTCACCAGGCTCAAGGTTGACTCAGCCTTCCATCCTTTCTAAGGTAGGTAAAATGAGGACCTGGTTTGTGGGGGCAATAAGCTGACTTTGTATAAAAATATACAAAAGTATGAAGGCTATTGCTTAACGCCTTGAAAGCCGCCCTGAGTCTCTGGAGAAGGGTGGCATAAATCAATTTTTAAAAAAAAAAAAAAAGTCTAAATATGGTTGCAATATTTAATGAAGTTGAGAAATTGGGAGAATTATAAGGGAAAGAATAAAGAGAAGATATGAATTATGGTGTGAAGATCCTCAGAAGAGAGGTGAGAAATTTAAGGAACAAAATGCAATGACAACATTGGTGGATGAGCATTGGTAGGTGAAAGCAATTGTGATTTGCAAAGGTAGATAGGAGTTTTCATGCAAACTAGATTTAGCTATATTTTAATTGCTTACTATTCTTTTCTGTGCTTTGGATAAAGTTGCTGGCCCTGAAAGGGACTAGGTGTATATGCATACCTATGCAAATATAATGCTGTGCCTAACCGGATTGAAAAAATGGCTCAGATACATCCAATTCTGTTTAGGATTTGGGTTTTTGAAATTATATTATGTTTGCAACCTAATTACCCTTTTTTGTTTCTTTTAAGAATTTTTAGTAATAATTTACTATAAAGTATCCATAAGACCTATGTAAAATTCTTTCACTATAATAAACATTCTTCACATATTGATCTGAATATTGATGATAAATATTCATTTATTCCCCCTGGAAAGAGATTTTCATGCCCTTTAAAAAAGGAATAGATGTTTACATTGTCAAATAAAAATATCAGTTTCAGAGCTGAGGTTGGCCATGAATCAATGGAAGCATTTTCATATGCAAATCAGAATTTTCAGCAATTTTGGCATGCTGAGGAGAAACAAACATGCCAATGATGCTTGGTCATTACATCTATGGAAGCTTGTTTACCGTAATGTGCAAAACAGTCTTAACGTTTCTCTAGACAGACTTTTGGTTTGCATGTAAGAAGCTTCTGCTGGTTGTAACTACTCACACTGCAGGAAATGCTAGTTTCCCATGAATTGAGAATGTGTCATGCCTCTTAAATAATGGCAAAAGTTTCAGTTGTATACTTGGAACATTCTGATCTGTGTCATATCTCTTGGAAGCATTTTATTACCGGTAGAGAATAAATCTACTTCACCAAACTTTATGATTCAGAATTAACAATTATAATTATACCATAATATTACTCCTGCCAAATCTACAAGACAGAGAAAACTTAGTGCTCTACTGTACTTTAGTGGAAGGCTGAAGAGGGGATACGTGGCATCAAATACCTATTGTTATAGAAAAGTACTCTACTGAAAATATGAATTAACAGCAATTGGGGAATGAGTTGCTGTTATTTCCAATTTTTTATTAAACTGTATATGTTAGTACCATGTTTCCCTGAAAATAAGACCCTGTCTCGTTTTTTTTTAACCCTGAAATAAGCACTTGGCCTTATTGCCATGTGCTCAAAAGCCCGATTGGGCTTATTATCAGAGGATGTCTTATTTTGGGGAAAACAGGGTACCTTATCCAACTTACATCATTTATATAATTTACACAGTCTTTGACTTACAACCGCAATTGAGCCAAAAATGTATGTTGCTAAGTGAAACACATGAATTTTCCCCCATTTTTTTTGCCACACTTATTAAATAAATCACTGCAATTGTTATTTTAGGAATAGTTGTAAGTGAATCTGGCTTCCCCATTGACTTTGCTTGTCAGAAGGTTGTAAAAAGTGATCACATGACCCCAGGACACTACAACCATCATAAATATGAATGAGTTGGCAAGTACTGTTATCTGAATTTTGATCATGTGACTATAGGGATGCTGCAACGGTCATATATGTGAAAAATGGTCGTTACTTTTTTTCAGTGCAATTGGTAATTAAATGTCATTAAATGAACCATAGTAAATCAAGGACTAGATTCAATTTCTGCAGAAAAAAAATGAAATTCCATATTTTGGCACAAATTCAAAAATACATTCAAATCTTTGAATCAAACTGGTGCAATAATAGAACAAGCCCATCTCAGTCAGTGACTCTGTGTGGCTTACAGTTTAAAAAATTATAGTTTTTATAAACTATAAATTATAATATTATATTGAAATACTAGAAACATTTTAAAACAAAAAATAGAAATACATCCAAATGAAACATATATAGCAGCCAAGATAATTGATGCAGATGGTGTATATAACCATGGTCTGTTGCTTGCAAAGTCTGTTGAATTGAAATTTTACAGTAATGTAGCTGAAATATCCTAGATTAACAAATCCATGTAGCTAAGGATGTAATATTAACTGTTTCTTGTGATCTTATTAATTCAGTAAAAGATTTACTTATTGAATATAACTTCATTATGTTGGGAGAGTAAAATGGATAAGGGACATTTGTTCATATGATATAGGCTTGTTCTGTTATTGCCCTGCTTTGATTCACAGAGATTTGAATTTGTGCAAAAATATGGAATTTCATTTTTTTTCTGTTTTCCCCAAAAAGTCCAAAAGGAGACTTCCAGTTAGCACTAAAATTAGCGTCTTTTCTCTAATCAAGGTTGTCACCATCTCTGCCAACCATCATACATAAGAACAAAGTACTATATCATTTTTCCAATTTTTATTGGTCAACCTGCAGAAATATCTCTGGTTTTGACTGTACATTTATCTTTTTTTAATTTTCTGAATATATGTGTTCAATCCATAATTCTTTAGTTTTTTTACAAGTTACCAAAAATGCTAAGTCCCTTCTTGAAGTTTACATTTCTAGAACATATTTGAAATACTCTTCTCGCAGTTAGAGACTACTCCGATTGACTGCCTTATTGTATCGCAAGCAGAAAACTCAAATAAAGGAGATATTTATTACCAATATTTGTAGCTCAGGATTGAAATGAGGGGTCCTTGGTGCTCTCTGAGCTTGCTAGATAACACCATCAGTGTTAGTAAGGAGGGGGGTTTCCTGTTAATTTATATTCTAGTGGCTTTCCTGTCAGTGTTAGTGGGGGAAGGCTTAGAGATGCTTTGGTTGAACTGTTTATTGTTGGCTCTTTGGCAGTTTCTTGATTGGGGTATTGTTTACTTGATTGTTGGTCTGCTGTTAACCTTGGAGTTAATCTATGCTGATCTGGATGCTGATTGCTAGTGGAGTATGGGTGATAACAACTCCCACCAACCAACACTGACAAGGCAAGCCACCAGAATATAAACTGACAGCAAACAACATTCCTTAATAACACTGATGATGTTACCTAGTTTGGATAATCAAATTTCTGCAAGAAAACAAGCAAGCTCAGAAAGCACCAATGACCCCTCAGAAAACTCAAAAGCTTTACAGTTGTAGGTACAGGCAAGTGTCAGCAAGATGTCAGTGAAAATACATCCACTATAAATAAGCTTAATCCTATAACAATATTCTGATGTATAGTACCAACCAATCAGTTGGTTAGAATTTTAAAAAAAGCATTATGGGAAATTAAAGTCCAAGAAAAGCCATAATTTTAACAACAGAGATTCAATAAAATTTAATTTTTCTTTTAGATTTAAAAGGAAACCTTCCCCTTTTTTGGTATTAACTTTCAGATATTTACAATTATCGGTTTTACAGATCATAACCGGCACTCATTCATTGTAACTTTGAACAGTCACTAAATGAGTGGTTGTTAACTAACGGCTTCCTGTATTTGTCCGTGTGTGTTTGATTTTGACTGAACTTTCTATCATGCTTAATTAAGATAGCTGAACTTACCTACTAGGAGATACAGTACCTGCATAAAAATAAATGTCTGATTCACCATTCTAAAAAGAGGTTGCATAACTGTTTTACAGTGACTTGGATCAAAATGTTTTCAAAATGGGGCATGTCAATGCAAGGTGTCTACGTTCTCCTGAGCATTTACTACTTTGGAGGTAAGTCTGTAATGATGAATTATAGCACTGGTGAATGAGACTGATTTAATATTGTGTTTAAATTACATTAGTGATTTTGAGTATTAGTTTGAAACTTAGGTTATAGAACAAGAATGTAGGTATTAACAAAATTCTGTATAGGTTCAGAGTTTTCTACTGATGTGCTGATTATTTGTGGATTAAAACCTTTTGAATAGATACTAATTCAAATTTATTGAAACAAAATGTAACAACATGAAGCAGCAACAGACTAATAATTGAATCAAAGGACATTAACTGATTTATGACTTGAATTTAGCAAGGGAACAATAAAAGAATTAGTGATCCAAGAATGATGGGGGACTAACCACACAGGTTGGTTTAAGCCCATGAGATTCTAGTAGTTCTTAATTTTATTTGGAGTCCCCCAAATTAAGAACAATCTTGTCATGTTTTGATGAGCTGTCAACAGCAGTGATATGATGGCATTTGCAGAAAATACCACTGAAAACCTGTATCTGTCCTTGGTAGATTTGATCGAGTAAAGTTTTAGCTTAGTCTTTCTGTGCTACACTTACCTCAGTGTCAGTAGGTTTACTCCTTTTAAGATGTTTGCTCTAGTTATCTCAAAGGAAATATAACACTTCTATGCAGTTGGTTCAATGCACTGTTTAATTACTGGTCCTATTCTAATTCTATAATAATAAAACTATACTATTCTAGTTCTAGAAGAACTTGTTCCTAGAAAACATTAATTCCTAGCATAATGCTAAAATTTAAATAGACATCAATACAAATAGCAATTATCAAGCTTCTCTTTGAGTTTAAAGCCTAAAATAAATCAATAAAAGCTTTAAGCTCAATAATTTGGGAGGGGAATGTTCTGTTTCTCCTCAAGACCATGTAAAATTTCTGGTCGTTTATGTTTTGAGAGTGACTAGTGTTTTATGTCAGACATCACACTTCTCCCCCCCCCCAGGAGAAAAGTTGACTTTTCTAGTGTAGTTTTGAGAAGGCTGTTGTTGTTTTCTATCTTATTTATTGTTTATAGCAATAATAAATATGTTTTCCAATGGAAAAGTAAATGTAATCATTTCTCTCAGTTTCAGATGGGCTTATGAACATGTGTGGCTATATCATCCCAGAGTCACCGGTAGTATTGTCCATTGGTTCCAATTTTACAGCATTTTGCATTTTCGATAATAATTGTTCTTATGGCAAAATTCGTGCTGAGCAAGTTATCTGGAAAACAAAAACAACAGTTGTCCCTAAAGAACAATATAGCATAATAAATGAAACTGTTTCTAGTGTAACATTCAGTGATACTTCTACATTGGTTTCTCCTCTGACTTGCAACATTTTAGTACCTGGCGGTTTGGTACAGAACATCTATGGAATTCAAATTCAACTGGGCTGTAAGTTATGTCCTTTAATTTTTCTGTGGCTGGAGAAAATTCTAATGCTGGGATATATTAAATTACTTATCTTTTTAAGATCTTCCCTTTGCATGTTCATAAAATTTTAGTTATACTTGAATTCAAAAGAGGACAAATCAGTATAACAAATATTCTGGCAAATGTAATGGCAAAGTCTAAATAATTTTTCACTTATTTAAGTACCATATAAACATATAAATATAATGTTTGTCCATTTACACAATTTGAGTGTATTTTTTGAGAAAATATGTTTACATTTTTAAAAATGTGGAATTTTCAAGTTGTCTTAAGCTTCTGAAAAAGATTGAAATATTAGTAAAGTACAAAAGCGTTTGTGGTTAGACGGGCACGTAATTATTTTTTTTTCTTTATAATTGTTAATGAAAAATCACTACTTCAGGGTTTGGGTATGTAATTTAATATTTTAAACACATGGAAAATTTCCATATATTTGCTGTAATTACTCTAATTCAGTTATGGTATTGGATGTGCTGGACTTAACATTAGTGAAAAGATGCTCATGCATGAAAATATAAAGAAGGGAGTCTGGAAAGTATTTCCTTTTTGGATTGGATCAAGTTCCCAGCTGTGATTTTGATATAGAAGAAAGGAATGGGACTTGTCAATTGCAGATTATCCATAATATTCCAGCCCATGCTGTTTACAGAAGTGACTTTAAGCATTCCACAGAAGCTTGACAAGGGTAAATGAAGGAAGAGGGATGGAACATATATTTGCATGTATCTTTTTGTTGTCACAAATTTTGGACTAGTTTCTGCTATGTTTTTTTTTTCCAGTTCCTCCCGAGAAACCTACAAACTTGAGCTGTATTGTGATTCAGACACAAGCAGCATCCTTTATTCAAAGATGTTCCTGGGAACCTGGAAGAGATACATTATTGACCACTAATTATACTTTAAAGCATAGGTGGTAAATATATTTTAAAATGAACCACTTAATTTTTTAATGTGTTCAATTACTTTTAAAGGAACTCCTGACCTTCTCAAATTAATGCTTTCATATCGCAAACCTGAAATATTTTATGCAGCCAGAAATTGTGGGGTCAGTTACCCTGTGAACTGTAAGCAGTTCTAACAGTTTGTTCCAAGAAGTGTTCCAATTTGAGTAAAGGAGTACTTAATTCAATGTTAAGCTTACTTCTTAGAGTAAATTTCATTTAGTTCTGTGATATTTACTTGTGATTAATTATGCCTCAGATTATGTGAGTGTGCCCTTGTAGATATTACTATGACATCAAGATATTAATACATTTAATGTTTCTTTTCTTTATGTAGGCCAACTGCAGCACTTCCTGATTGTATACCTCAAGATAGTAATAATTCTTGTACCATTTCTGTTGTCGTCTTTTTTGTTACCGTGGAAATGTGGGTAGAAGCCAAAAATGAACTTGGAGTAGCTGAATCTGACCACATTGAATTTGATCCCATATCTTGTGGTAACTATGCTCCTTTCCATTAACTAATGTTAGAGGACTCTCATTAATTTTTTCATTTGATATTTGAAATCTCTTCCTCTGAATTAGTCTTGATAGTCTGGATTTGAAGAAGAATATTAATCAGAGCTTATGAGCCTTTTGTACATAACATTTGTCAAAAGCTTCTTACAGTATCTGAATGTTTTTCTTGGGCTCATGCAGCTTCATTTAATCTTTAAAAAAAACCATTTGGTTAAATTAATTGCCAACAGGGTCCTTAAGCACTTTGGTGCATACTCCAAATCTTAAAATGTCAAGAAGTATATAGCTCTAAATGCAAAACGTTGGGGTTGAAATTAATTGAATCTGTATATTAAACAAAACATTTTTCTTCCTTTGTTCCTAGTGAAACCACTGTCTCCACACAAGCTGTCCCTAAATTCAGGAGAATTTCCTAGTATCTTAAGGCTGTCATGGGAAAACAGATTTAATGAACCTCAAGAACTGAAATATAAAATTCAATATAAGATCTTGAACAGCAATGATTGGACTGAGGTAATCCTATGGCTGTTTTTTATTATGACAATTTCTGTTTTACTGTACAGATAACCCTCAACTAACAACTGGTCAGTTCAAAGTTATGGTGGACCTCCTGGGGTACTAGTGACATGATTCTGAAGTTATGATGGCCATCCTTCCCGTTCCCACAGTCACATGACCACATTTGAGACACTCGTCAACCAACCCACATTTATGGCTGTTTGCAGTGTCCCATGGTCACATGACCATATTTGGCAATATTTTGGTTGATAACTTGTATTTACTTCCAGTTTTTGGCAAAACCAACTCGTAGTGAACAATTGGTTCACTTAACGACTGTTTCAAAAAAGGTCATAGAATCAGGTTATGAATGAAAGAAACTCCACAAATACTGCACATCTAAAAACAATTCTGCATGAAGGTCTGGGGGGGAAAATCTGGCTAATATCAGAAGCTGGTAGACAGTTATAAGAAATGCCTACTTCTACCAGATATTAGAACCAAGGTATATTTACCTTTTGCTCAAAAAGAAATGTTCAGTTATATCATCTTTATCTTTGTTTACTATTTGGATGAAAATAAAATCTTAATATCCAATATTGATATGTTTTTTAAAAAGTTTATATGCAGTATATTTACTTTTTCACATGACTGTACTGATAGTCTTCGACTTATGACTGCAGTTGAGCCTGGAATTATGGTCCTAAATTGTGGCGGTCAGTCAGTGGGTCATTATCTGACTGCCCAATTTTATTGCCTTTTTGTGGCAGACGTTAAGCGAAACCATTTTCCCCAATGGATGTTTTTTGCCAGAAACTGGAAATAAATGCTTGTTTCTGGCAAAATAACCATCCTAAAACATGGTGAAGCTACAAGATGGCACAAACGGCTGTAAATGCCCTTTTAAGACTTTAAAGAGAAACATACACAGCAATTTTAAAATCTGTATGAGTATCATAGTAAGTGAGTATCATAACACTTACGAAATTCAGCTTTATTTTCAGATTCCACCTGTAGATACAGCTTCGTCGAGAACTTCCTTTACTCTCCAGGAACTCAGGCCAAATACAGCATATCAGATTAGACTGTGTTGTGCAATTCATTCATCAAAGTACTGGAGTGAATGGAATGAAGTAATTGGATTCACTGCTGAAGACAGTAAGCAATGTTTGTTTGTTTGTTTATCTGGCCTCACAATGTCAAAAGATGAAATAGTTACATGTCTGCACAAGTTACCCTGTAACCTAAAAAGAACATAAAAGGAGATCTATAACTCCATGAGCAAAGAGCCTGAAAATGGATGATCAACTACTGTCAAGCATGGGAAGTCTGATACTAAAAATTATTAATATCTCTGAAATTAGTAATTATCTTTGCTTCAACAATCTCCATTGGTTATATAAAAAACATTAATCATGATATTCCTTTGAGAATTATGTGTTTCAAATTCAGAGCTCAAGAGGGTTCTGACCGCCTGAATAAAGGATTAAAATGATTTTTAGAAACAGGAAAAATGCAGGACATATAACAAAAAATCTTACAATGTTACAGGATAATAATATTTCAGATATTATGGATAAAAATTATAGAGGCTGAGATTTTCCACCTTCTATAAATTATACAGCATTTTTTCTTTTAGTTTGAAAACTGATACTAATAAATAATCCTCGAATTATGCAGAGAAAAGGACTCTTGGGTGATGGCTGTTCAGTGCACAGTATTGTTGAAGTCTAGAACATTTTTGAGTGCAACTCTAGGATATTTAATACCAATAGAAGATTAAAATATGTAATCTGTATCTGACATTATTGCTAAGCATTATAATGAAGCGTGTCAATTGATTAAAACAATTTAAGACAGATTTTTTAATTTTGATAAATATGCATTAAATAAAATGAATAATGAGATTTTCTAAAATCTAGATGTTTGAATTTTTATCCTCTGTTAGAACCATCTAAAGGACCAGTTCTTTGGCGTAACATTAAAACTTCTGGCTCAACAGGAAATTGGACATTAGGCCTTCTTTGGAAGGTAGGAGAAAACTATATATCATGGTATAAGGGTTTTGCATTGATCTGAGGACTATACTTGGCTTTTAAATGACATGAAACTATGCTCAAAAAAGTAACTAAGGTCAGGACAATTAGTTTTTTGATCTAATTTAACTACTTCCCATATGTTTAATCATTTTCTTCAGTTAACTATAAAATTAACAAATGAGTGAACTTGCGAGAGGGTGGGGAAACTTTAATAACTCCCTAAAGCAGGGGTCCCCACCCTTTTGGTTCTCTGGACTGGCTTTGGCAGCTTGAGGAGAATGGCAGCACACGCAACCTAAACCCCACGCATGCGCAAATGAACCTTCATGCCCTCTCCTGCTGCCTCTGTGACCCAGTTTCCAACAAGTTATGACACGATACCGGTCTGTGGCCCAGGGGTTGGAGATCCCTTCCCTAAAAGCTTTCCAAGACTTATATACACCCCTCTTTGGAGGATAGGAAAAGATAGGAAAAGTTATGTAAACTTTTGGCAAAGATGCACAGGTAGAACAGGTTGGTTAAGAGGCAATTTAGCCCACAGAAGAAATGAGGGCATGGCAAATGTCTCAGAAGGGACCCTCTGTACTGCAAAAACAACTGAAAAGAAAAACAGACTTGCAAGATACTGTTAATATAACTTTATAGTAAAGTAGAGCTATTACTTCTGGGTGAGCTTCTTGTCTTGAGTACCTCAAAGATGGATATCCTGTTATCATATTCCCATTCAGTCTGTAGTACACTCTCCATTTGATACATTGAGTTCTGTTCTGATAAACAATATATTCGATTTCTTAGGTGACATTCTTTCTCTTTTTTAACTAATTTGATCTTTCCTAAAATAGAAAAATAGATAGAAATACTAGATCCAGTCGACAAGCCTTTGAGAGCATTTCCTATAAATTAAGTTAATTTTTCATGCAGTAAGGTTCCGTATTCTCTTCTTGACAAATGCACTTATCAAGGATTTGGGGTAAAAAGTTTGAGAATTGGCTTTCTTAACTTATTATAATCTACTGCTAGTTTGAAACAGAAATGCTGGCTTAGTTGAATGAACATCTCGATGTGTATAAAGCATTTTCTTCATATATCATCTCTGAATAAAATAAATCTCTTCAACAGGAGTTGAGTCCTTCTGAAGCAAATGGAGTAATTTTGAAATATGAAGTATCTATTTCAAGAAGACCGCCACTTTCTTTTCCAACTAGACATTACACTCTGAATACAACCAAACTGATTTTAAATGTAGAAAATGGGACATATAATGTGAGCATTATAGCATTTAACAAAATTGGTAAATCTCCTACATCACACTTGCTTATTCCAGCAACTAATTCAAAAGGTAAAGTTTTTCAAATAATTTAATGAAGGGGGGGAAATCTAAATATTAATGTTAACAATAGACCACTTTTGTTTTTCTTATGGAGGGCAATCCATTCTTATTGAAGCCAATTTGGTCTAGTGGTTAAGGAACTGGGCTAGAAAGCAAGAGATTGTGAGTTCAAGTCCTGTCTTAGTTATGAAAGTCAGATGGGTGACCTTGGGTTACGCTAAACTAAGCTCACACAGTTCTTGTGACAGAGTAGCTGTTGTGAGGAAACTAAGAGGAGGAACTTAGTACTTTCAGTTATTCAAACTGATTTGTTATTTAGAAAAGATTTTTCTTCTGTTTGAATTGATTGTTTAAAAAATTGTCTTCAATTTTCTTTAAAGATAAATAAATTTAAGGAAAAAGTTCATCTTTCTTGCAACAACATAGCTGTAGTAATTACTTTGATTAGTTCTGTTAGTGAATAGATAAAATATTCCATTAAGGTATCTTAAATATGCTTCTTGCATATATAATTATCTTAATTAGATCCTAATGTTTCAGTTGAACAACTGGCTTATGATATAGTAATATAGTGTAGGTCTAGGACACGGGTGTCAAACTTGCCGTGTTACATTGCCATCATGTGACATTTCATGATGTTTTTCCCATTCGCGGAGCTGGAGTGGGTGAGGCCTCTGTGGGCCACCAGTTTGACACTCCTGGTCTAGGATATCTGAAGAACCGTCTCGCCTCCATTGACTAGTCCATCACATTTGTTCCAGTGAAAAAGGCCTTCAGATCCTGTTGGCCAAAGAATGCCAGCTGGCAGGGTCCAAGAGAAGACCTTTGTGGCCCCCACCCTATTGAATATTTTCCCGTCAGAGCTAAGGTTCGCCCCCACACTCCTGACCTTCTAGAAGAGTCTCAAAGCTTACCTGTGCTATTTAGCCAAAGGTCCTGACAGACCTGCTACGTTGGGGGTGACTGTCCAGCTAGAGAAAATCTCTACCGCCCCAGACTGCCCATCATCTTGGTTTTTAGCTTTTTTAATTACGTTTTTCTAATTTTAATTGTTTTTAGTACATTTTATTTTTTACTACATTGTAAGCCATCCAAAGTTGTTCTATCAGTGAGATGGGTGGCATAGAAATTTAATAAATAAAATTTCAGTAGATATTCTGTACAATACATATTAAAATTTCTTTTCTTTTCCTAAAATACATTTGCTGCTATAGGAATGCCAGATATGAGAATTTAAAAATGTTTTAAACTATTGAACATAGCCTGTCAGATGAGAATAGTAAAAGTGTTTTAATATCTGAATTCTCTCTCTTGCGTTAAAAAATCTCTTGCATGTTAAAAAATCCTTGAAATGTGATTATAGTTCTAATGTTTTCTTATCTGTGACTGTAGACATCCACTCTGGCTTAGTCAGAAATACGCTGGGATTCGATTGTTCATATGACCAGCAGTGTTATATTTCAAACAAGAATCTTTAATTGAATTTTGGTGTTAAAATTAGGAACTTTGTAGAATGCTAGAATTTTCACTTTATATCTTTGGCAGAAGTAAGGTTTTTTTTTTCTTCCTAATTTCAGCTCCTGTGAAGAATATTCTTGCATTTCCTAAAGATGGCAAACTCTGGGTAAATTGGACACCTCCCAGAGAGTCAGTTAGTAAATACATAATTGAATGGCAAGAAGCTTGTAGCAATTTAAACTGCCCTACTGAATGGCAGCAGGAACTTGGCTCAAAACGGAGAACATTTTTAAAAGGTAACTGTAAAGAATAATCTGTTATTTATACAATGAAGAGAAGAATTCTTTAGATGCTCTTATTTCCTTTAAAAATAAATCCAATTCTTCTTATTTATGTGCTTTGTTCACTATGCTATACCTTTTAAGGTAAAACACATGCAAAGTGCAAGAAAGGAATAAAAACTAATATAAATTTATAAATAATATAAATAAATTTATAAGATGTATTATAAAAAGAAATCAAATCTAATGCTTCTTAGGTTACTGGCCTTAGTCATACATAAGCAGTATTCCTAACTAACAGTAAAGGTGAATTTTAACATTTCAGCATTTTTGAACCAATATACCACTTTTCCATGTAAGCTAAGTTCTAACCTGGAGACAACCTGCAAGCCATCATATTGTTTTAGAGTTGGAAATTAGTAAGGTTTGTGTTTTCCTTTTTTTCATAGCCTGAAAGCTGCCCAGAGTCATCTTGTAGGGGGAGATGAGCAGCATAAAAATTTAGTTAATAAATAAATAAAATTGCAGCAGGGGAGCAAGAATTTTCATGCTACAAATACTTTTTTCCTCAATACAATAATTCCTGAATGACATCATTTTGACAAAACAACTAAAATTGCTATTCTGTTGCCTGAGAGGATGTGACTTAATTATGACATAAGTAATATGTTCCCCTGTTGTTCAAATTCCCACTGTTTGCCCTATCACTTTGCAGTTCATCAAATCTAAAAGACATTTTGTTTTGATTGTTTACTGCAGATACCACCTCAGCAGTGTGCTCAGAAAATAATATTGGGGACAAACTAATAAAATACGTTGTGTCCTAGAATTTTGAAACTTCTTGTGGAGCAGATTTGGAAATTGATTTAGAATTTTAGAGATTAAATATGGGTTTTTTTTCAGCAGACTGTCATTTAAAGCTTGTTATACATGAAGAGTGCCAGAATAGATTTTAGTTTTAAGGATGTCATTCCTTTTATTTTAGCTTTTAAGTAAAGAAGCTGGTAAAGGAGAGACTTTCGTGTGGACATTTTTTTTAACGAATATTCCTGTATCCTTCTCTGATACTGCCAAGTGATAAATCCTTGAAATCCACATTTCTAATTAATTTATATTGTTGGATTTTGTTTTATATAAAGGAACGGTATCAGTTATTTATTATTTATTTATTTATTTATTATTCGAATTTCTATACCGCCCTTCTCCTTTCGGACTCAGGGCGGTGAACAGCCAAAATAAAAACATTTATACATAAATACGATTAAAAATAGATTTAAAATAATTAAATTTGGCCCATAGTTTAAAATTTATCAATTTAAAATCCATATCAAAATTTAAAACCAACCATAAAATCATAAAATCAAGAGAGACCGGCTAACTGAAAGAGATGAGTTTTTAGGGCCCGACGAAAGGTCCGGAGGTCGGAGATCACTCGTATCTCTGGGGGTAGATTGTTCCAAAGGGTAGGTGCCACCACAGAGAAGGCTCTCCTCCTGGGGGTCGCCAGCCGGCATTGTCTAGCCGACGGCACCCTGAGGAAGCCCTCTCTGTGGGAGCGAACTGGCCGGTAGGAGGCTATTGGTGGCAGAAGGCGGTCCTGTAAGTACCCTGGCCCTAAGCCATGGAGCGCTTTAAAGGTGATCACCAACACCTTGAAGCGCACCCGGAAGTCCACCGGAAGCCAATGCAGCTCGCGCAGGAGAGGAGTCACATGGGAGCGCCCAGTCGCTCCCATAATCCCCCGCGCGGCCGCATTCTGCACCACTTGGAGCCTCCGGGTGTACCCCAAGGGGAGCCCCATGTAGAGAGCGTTACAATAGTCCAGACGAGAAGTGACGAGTGCTTGAGTGACTGTGCGTAGGGAGTCCCAATCCAGAAAGGGGCGCAACTGGCGTATCAGGCGAACCTGATAAAAAGCCCCCCTGGCCACAGCCGTCATATGCCCTTCTAAGGACAGCCGTGCATCCAGGAGGACGCCCAAGTTGCGGGCCCTTTCCGTGGGGGCCAGTGATTCACCCCCAATAACCAGCGATGGCGTCAGCTGGCTATACCGGGACACCGGCAGCCACAGCCACTCGGTCTTGGAAGGGTTGAGTCGAAGCCTGTTTCTCCCCATCCAGACCCGCACGGCCTCCAGGCACTGGGACATCACTTCCAAGGCATCGTTGGGATGGTCTGGGGTGGAGATGTACAGCTGAGTATCATCAGCGTACTGATGGAACTCCACCCCAAAACCACGGATGATCTCACCCAGCGGCTTCACATAAATGTTGAACAGGAGGGGCGAGAGGACTGACCCTTGTGGCACCCCACAAACAAGGCGCCTCGGGGTCGACCGCTGCCCCCCTGTCAACACGGATTGCGACCGGTCAGAGAGATAGGAGGAGAACCACCGCAAAACGGTGCCCCCCACTCCCAGTCCCTCCAGCCGGCGCAACATGATACCATGGTCGATGGTATCAAAAGCCGCTGAGAGGTCTAACAGGACCAAGATAGAGGAGTAACCCCTATCCCGAGCCCTCCAGAGATCATCCACCAACGCGACCAATGCCGTTTCCGTGCTGTACCCAGGTCTGAAACCGGACTGGAGCGGATCCAAATAGACAGCTTCATCCAGGTACTGTGGAAGCTGTCGCGCCACCACACTCTCAACAACCTTCGCAATAAAGCGAAGGTTGGAGACTGGACGATAGTTAGCCAAAACAGCCGGATCCAGGGATGGCTTCTTGAGGAGAGGCCTCACCACCGCCTCTTTCAAGGCGGCCGGCAGACCATTAGCCCAATACAAGTAAAAATGGAAAAGTAGGGAAAATCCCAAATGTTTGAACATTTTCTACATTCAAAATATTTGACAAACTAAGATAATGTGGTTGTGTATGTGTTGACGTAGTTCAATCCCACAATTTTGTTTTTAATATTAGGAGAGAGCCTTAAAATATGTATGACAGAAGCTAGAATTGTACTTCTGCATCAGCAGAATGCCATCAACTGCAGTTTCTTTCTTCTAGCAACTCTGATAAGTAATCAGAGATTACTTATAAATTGAAAGGTTTATAAGTTGATCTTATAAGTAAAGGCATTACTACTTTAATCAGGCATCTTTTTATTGGCATCTTTTTAATCCACCTCTATATTTTTATATATGTGTTAGAGCAGGGGTGTCAAACTTGATTTCATTGAGGGCCACATCAGCATAGTATTTGACCTCGGGGGGCCGTGGTGGGCATGACCGGGGTAGGCGTGGACAGCTTGATGTCATTCATGTGAGAGTACCCGTGTCGCCGAACATTCTGCCAGCGAAAACGGGCTCCCGAGCTCCATTTTCAGCTGTGACGGCCTCTTGCAACCCTCTGGCAGTGAAAACAGAGCTCGGGAGGGAACTCCATTTTCACTGGCAGAGGCACCACGGACCAGTCTTTCGCTGTTTGTTTTCAGGGCAGCCCTGCAGGCCAGATCTAAGCACCCTGCGGGCCAGATCCAGCCCCCGGGCCCTTGAGTTCGACACCCCTGTGTTAGAGTAATCCTGCTGTTCTGATCATGTTTTATTTTCTGTTTCCCCAACGAAAAGAGACAAATGAAACTCATTTATGTATTAGTGGCTTATTTCTATGATCACTATTTCATCAAAATCCAACAATGATTTCCACTGAACAATCTCTTGCTATTTGCTTTCCATCATGCTTCCTTCTTTATCAGAAAAAGGGCATTGCATGAAAATATATTTGTCTAGTAGGTGGATTATAATGGGGCACAGGCAGGTAGTTCTCATTTTACAACCGATTGTTTAACAGCCATTAGAAGTTACGACAGGCTCAAAAAAGGGGAACTTGGATTGGGCAGCCACACTACTACCCTATAGTCATGTGTGACTGCACTTTTGGTGCTCAACAACACAGCCTCATGTATGGCTATTTGCAATGTCCCATGGCTATATGATGCCATTTTATGACAGTTTTTCCAAAAAAAACCCAAATCAATAATTACATCTGTTTTTCTGGAAAAATGTGCTCATAGCAAACCATTGTTCAGTTAACGACTGCAGATTCACTTAACAACAATGCTTAACAACATGCAAAAAAGTTGTCACATCACCTACTCATTAACAGGTGTTCTAATAAAGGGCAGTTATGACCATTATTGTCATAACTCAAGGACTACCTATACCACCAATTCTGACAATTTGGAGAAATGCAAATTGTCTTCAAGCTTTATGTACATTGATTACAAGTATTTACAGTATAGCTTGCCTTTCAGGATAACAATAATCCTAAAGCAGTTTGTAAGCAATATTAAACAACTGTAAAAAAAGTAGAAAGTTTTCAAGCATTTCTAATGCACCAGCAACTTCTTGATACTGTACCTAGCAATATCTCAATTGTTTTCAAATATCTCTGAAAATAGTTACTACAAAATTAAGTCAAATTTCTCTCTATGACGAAATAGGTGTGTAACAGGGTATCTCTTGTTTCTTAACACAAGTGTTAGCGTTTTTAATTTATGTAAATAGGACCTGTAAAATTCTTTTTTTAGGAACCATAAAGCCATACAAGCGTTACATAATAACAGTATATCCATTATATAGTGACGGTCAAGGAGAAGGAGAATCAACACAGGCCTATCTTCAACAAGATGGTAAGTTTACTACAACTGCAAGTGCTTTCTTGAGGATGCCACAATGCAGTAATTGGTTTATGATATTCATAAAATATTGCCTAATTTTCATAATAAATTGATATGAAAGTGGAGTACAAAACAGTAAAACTATAGGAACTATATTAGCTACAATTATAAAATATGACAGTAATGAGAGAAAGAGAAAGAAATGGGATGCCATAACATGTATTCAAAACAAAAGCCTAGGTGAACTATTGATGCTCCAGGTAAGATTGAGCAAGGCTATTAGACTATAATGCTTTTGGCGAATTGAAATATAGGCAATTTACAAGTTACCAAAAGAACCTAGAACTGCTTGATGGTATAGTGGCAACTAGTGTTGCTCCTTCATAAAAGTTAATATAGTTCTAACAGGATGTCCCTGCCTTTCATTTTGCTCTACTGCAGCTACAGACAAATCCCCAAATAAGAGAACTAATTGTTGATCTTTAGCAAAAAACGTTTAAAGTACTGTTTGTTTATAGTGCCTGCTATAGGACCCAATGTTCGAACAAAGAAACTTGGAAAGTTTGAAGCTATTTTAGAATGGGATCCTCTTTCAGTGGAAGAACAAAATGGGTTTATCAAAAACTATACCATTTCTTATAAAACAGCGACTGGAGATGAAAGAGGTAAGTGTGTTACTAATTTTTAGTTATTTGAATGATATTCTAGCCCAAAGTTTCAAAGTTAACTTTACTTTAGGCTTTACCAGATCCAGGCTGCAGAAATTCCAAAAAAAAAAACAAACAAACACCACACACACACACACACACACCACTACATGGCAGCAAAGGGATATAGAAAACTAACTCTAGCTGCCACCTAGTATTCATCTAGATTTTTGTGGGTGAACCTTACTTGTCAGTTGCTTCTTGTGGCATTCATGGCTCATTATCATTCATGCATTGTTCACCTTTCATATAGATTACTGTAATACACTCTACCCGGGACTGCCCTTGAACAGTATTTAGAAGCTTCAGCTGCTGCAAATGTGGCAGTTATATGCACCTCTCAATCAGCACATATTATACCTCCATTCTGTGGGCTGCCTTGGTTGCCAATTTTATTCTGGGTATAATACAAAATGCTAGTGATAATCTATAAAGCCTTTCATGCCATGGGACTGGACTGAGTTATCTGAGGGACGGCCTCTTCAATTACCTGTAATCCAATCAGATCTGGGAGCAGTGTCATGTTTTAGGTCCCGTCAGCCAGGGAGTATATTTTTTGGGTGGAGCCTAGAAAGAGAGCCTTCTCTGTCATGGTTTCAACTGTATGGAACATCATTTTCCTGCCCCCCTCCCCCACCTTAGAGACCATAGTGATCCTGTTAACTTTTGGCAAGGCCTGAAAACATGGTTTTGTGATGGGCATGGAAACCCAGGAATGTTCTAGAGCCTGCACAGTAGCTGTATTGACTGTAAGGATGGAAGTGTGATTCAAAACTTTGATTTCCTGATACAGTTTTTATATGGCTTAATATTGTTTTTATTGTTGAAATTATTCCATTGCTTTGCTGTGTTTGTATTTTTTTAAAAACTTCATAACCTGCCCATAATTATGCATTGAGATGTGCAGCTATATAAATTCAATAAATAAATGAAATAATGCAAAGTAATTGTAGTAAATATGCGCAGTCATATCTCGGTACTCGATTGCTTCAAAACTCATTTATTTCAGTATTCGATGCATTTTTGAAGCAGAAATCTTGTCCCAGCACGTGGCTTTCTCCCAGTAATCAACGTGCAAGGGAGAATTTGCTGACATCGGCTACCCCATGACTTGCTATTTCTTCCAACCAAAATAGCGGATCATGTGGTAAATCATGAGGTTTTCTTCGTACTCATCAGTTTTAGTGTTCATCACGTCTTCCAGAACAAATTATCAACAGGTGCCACTGTATTTCATCCAATATAGTATGTACCTGTTATGATATGCAATACTATTAATACAGAATATTTTGACAGAATTAATAAAATTAGAAATGAAGGTTGGACTATACTGAGTTCAGATCTAAATGTTCTTATTTGAATTAAGGTTAGAAAAAACTAGTTTGGATAGATTTAATGTAAAGTATTTTCAATTCATTTTTTAATTTCTAGTTGTGACTGTGGATCCTTCAAAAACAGAGTACCTACTATCATCCTTATTAAGTAACACTTTGTATATGGTGCATATGACAGCATACACAGAAAGTGGAGGAACAGCTGGTTCTCAGTTTACATTTTCTACAAATAGATTTGGTAAGTTTTGTATGTAACTATTCCAATTTTGAAAAGAATCAGCTTGGGATGAAATACTTCCCAAGTACCCATTAGAGTTCCTTCTTTAGAGGAACCACTTGAAAGTCTTGTATAGATGATTTCGTTACTTTGTTCTGTATTAGGTACCCTGGGAATGTGGCATAATTCACAAATCGGGTGTTTTGTTTGTTTTTGTCTGTTTGTTTAACACAATATGTGAATTTAAACATGATTAAGGATAGGCATGATCCAAAAGGATAGGTATGATTCATTTGTTATTTTCATTATCAGTTAATAGATTTTAGAGTTTTTAAAATTATTTTGAGGTAAACTAATAAACATTTGAAGAAAATGTGCTGATTTCCTTTTGCATTTTCTTTTCAGAGGATGGAGAAATAGAAGCAATTGTTGTTCCTGTCTGCATAGCATTTCTTCTATTTACTTTATTTGGTGTATTAGTTTGCTTCAGCAAACGAGATATGTAAGTATCCTTAGTGGTAGCACCACATATTCAGCACACTGCGTGTCATTCTTGATTGAGCAAAGGAAGGAGCACTGCATTGACACTAATGTACTATTGTGTGTGTGTGCTTATACGTATAATAATTCTGAGCTGAATGTCACTTGTTATTTTTTTACTTGTCTTTTTATTATTTTTCTCCAGGATTAAGAAACACATCTGGCCTAATGTGCCTGATCCTTCAAAGAGCGTAATTGCTCAATGGTCACCGCAGACACCAGCTAAGGTAAAAGGAAAACAAAAAAAACAAAATTAAGATTATAAGATAATTAACAAAAACATAACAAAGGAATGGGAATGGCAATTTCCAGATGTGGCATCCTTTCCTAATTCCCTGAGGTTGATTTATGGAGGCTACATAGTTGGGGTTGGTTGGGGAAATTGAAAAAGAGCAAAATATCTCCTCCTTTTCCACTCTGTCAACCTAATGTTGAATTAGAGTTTACATGGAGAAAAGAGGCTGTTGTACTTGATGAAGAACTTGACTGGAATCCAGGCCAAATCTTCAACTAAATGCAAAAATGTAATTAGTTTCTTAAATGGTATATATTTTTTAAAAAAACCAATCCTAATATGTTAGAAGTATATAATAACCTAATTTTTAAAAAATCAAACTGACAAATCCTATATATTATGCAAATATATATAGGATGTACGGAATATAATGTAAATTCAGCAGAGCGTCTGGTATGATCTGTATGTGAAAAGTTGCATTCTCAAATCATGTCTTTTAGTAATGCAGATTAAAGTGAGATAGAGACGAATCTGAAAGCCCAAGGAGGCACTGCATTAATTTACTACCGAAGAAGCTTGATTTTCTGACAGAAAGAAAAGAATGACGAGGGCAGACTAAAGATCGCAATTTAATTTAATTTAATTTATCGCATTTTTATGCCGCCCAACTCCCAAGGGACTCTGGGCAGTTTACAGCAAAAAAATCAGATGAATGTAGTTTTGATTTAAAATCAAATTGCATCACAGATAATTATAATGACATTTTTGTCTTTTTTTTAAAAGCATTTTAATTCAAAAGAGGAAATATATCCAGAGGGCAGTTTTACTGATGTCAGTGTTGTAGAAATTGAAGCCGAGGACAAGAAATCCCTTTCAGATCAAGATCTGAAGCCTTTTGACTTGCTTAGAAAAGAGAAGAATGCCTCAGAAGGTCACAGCAGTGGTATAGGAGGCTCATCCTGCATGTCTTCTCCTCGACAAAGTGTTTCAGATAGTGATGAAGGGGAACCTGCTCAGAACACTTCCAGCACCGTGCAGTATTCAACTGTAATACCCAGTGGCTACCGGGATCAAACTCCTTCAGTGCAAGTCTTTTCCAGGTCTGAATCTACACAACCTCTCTTAGATTTAGAAGAGAGGCCAGAGGATCAACAGATTCTTGGAAATGACAGTTCAATGCCCAAGCATCGCTACTTCAAGCAAAATGGTAGCTGGGATGACACAGCCACAGATTTTGAAAAGGAGGAACAGATTTCTCCAGTAAGTGAGGAAGATACTACCAGGCTTCCAGCATCACAAATGGGTGAACCTGGCCCAGAAAAAGATCAACAGGGAATGGACTTCATAGGTGCATTTTCTCCTAACCTAATGGAACAGGCTGGGAAGCTTGAAAACAACACAGATATGGTAACCAGTGAAGAGATGCCCAAAAGCTACCTTCCTCAGACTGTACGGCAAGGTGGTTATATGCCCCAGTGAAAAGAAAATACTGTTGTGCCATTGCTTTGATAAGTTAAATAGTTTTTAAAAACCATGCTTCAGGTGAAAATCAGGCTCATCTATGGAAGCTAATTTGGACAACATGGAATTTGGGAAATTTGAATAGACTTTTAAAGGAAAATTTCTAGACTTATACTGAATGTTTCCTTCAAGCACTACATATATTCAACTTCGTTGATACATTTATTACATTTCAGTTTTGTCCTGGGCATTCGACTTTATTTTTAATATAGAATATAAAGCTACATTCATTTTCATAAAGACATACAGGCCAGGAATTGATAATTGCAAATACTTCTCTGCAGTTAAGACCATAAGAGGTTAAACTGTACAATATGAATGCTCCGTTTGTGATTGTCTAGCACCGACATTTCAAAAATAGTGTTTTAACTACTGTGAGAGTTATGCAGAAGCAAATAGTTTACTACCTATCTGGCCAAACATAATTGCTTCAGGCAGAATATAAACATTACATGGGTCTAGGACAGCCTCATAATTAACTAACTAAAAATGTTGTTTGCTTGGGCTCTTTCTCTTGACTGTAGCATGTTACTTGTGTCAGCTAAGGACTGTATTAATTGAGTGAATGATCAGCTAATTGAATCATGATTATGTCCAAAAGTTGACTGCTAATATTTCATGTTGACTTTTGACTACCAGTATTTCATGCCTTTTGTATCTTGCACTTTGAGCCATATCTGCAGAAATGTAAATACAACATTTGGAACTCAATCCTATAAAGTTAAATTTGTGTGTATGCTTATTTTTATTACCATATAATCATAATTAGGGGTTAATTGTTATTAAAGAGGAATATATACCGTTCTTTTGTTAACTGTTAAAATGCCAGGTTCTGGTATTCCATCCTGTGCATAATTATGAAGGCTGGAAACCACGCAGCTGGGTTATTGAAGACACCATGCTGAGCTGTGGTCTTTGTTTTTCAGTTCGGTTCTCTCCTACCTATGAAGAAATTTATTCAGTTCTTTTGGGTCATACTAGTTTATTAAAAATAATTTCCACAATGCATTAATAGCTTGAATGTCTTTTGATGCAGTCCAGGAACACTAAAGTTGTATAAAAATTAAAGCATATTCGATGGGTTTTTTTAGATAATTTTCAGTATGTGTATATATTGAAACTTTATAAATCATCACCATGACCATTTTCATGATGTTCTTTTTCTTCAGAAGCATATTATCAGTAGTAGCTGACATTTATACAGTAGACAAGCTGATAAGTTTTACAACACAAGCTCAAAATATAACCACAAATACATTTAATCATTTTCAAAGTTTTCAAGTGTGAAATTGGCTCGGAACATGGATGTATTCTTGCTTAAATGGCCTGATCTTACTCTGCTTTTTCTGCATCTGTCATTGTAATATTTTCATGCTTGGAAATGAAGTCAATGCACACCTAGTTAATCACAAATGTATTATGATTTGGCTGTTCAGTTTGTTTTCGCTTTCTCAGGAATTCAAATCATTTTTTGAAAGTTAACAGTTTAATGCCTATCATTGAAATTATCCTATACTGGATCCTAGAAAATGAGCAGAAATTGTTAATTGATGAAAACGGAATGAATTGTAAACATAATCCACAATTCTTGCCAAGTTGTCCTCAAATCTTGGAGGAAGAATTTCCAAGCATAATAGAGCAATTTGACTCCCTATCGTATGGAGTAGCCAGTCCATTATTTTGTATTTCTATACATCAAATTAAATATCATTGCTTTAGGTGAAAACCCCTTTCAATTTTTTTTGTAATAGCAGTTCTTAGCTACATATCTGAACCTCTATATTTTTGAAAGTTTTCAGTCTATCATTTAAACAAAGCATTTTGAACATGTTTCCTCTTAAATACAGCAGCTAAAAGTCACCAATTAATTTTATAATTCCTATATTCTAATTGTGGAATGCACCAAGAGTGTTCATTAACATTATACAAAAGCACCATTATCTAAATTGGAGAATGCTATATGACAAGGTGTTACTCAAAAAACAAATTACATCCCAACAATGTAACTTCAAATATATAAGAATGGTGCTCAGAATTGTATTACTTCCTTATAATTTCTCCAACCTTTTGACCACCTGAATTAATCTCATAGATTTTTAGATGGAAAATCTTTGCATTGTTAATTCTCACTTAGCGTATACAGTATAATATAATTGCTAGCATGCAGAGCATTTTCTCAAATTCACAATTACTACCTCAATCTGGAAAATGGGTAGAACATTATGACAATGTCTCAAAAATCCCCCCTAGCAAAGGGATGGAAAAAGGGCTGGTTCTAAGTACCAGCTCTCAAGCTGGCTTAATTTTTTTTTTTTAATGGCCATCAAACCAAGTTTCCCCAAAAAGGTTTTCAATATGAGCAAGGCTCAGAATATTGGACTTTGTTTTCTAAAGATGGATTACCCGATGGAAAGATTTGATCATGGAAGTTGAGACAGTCAGCCTCAGTTCCTTCAAGAGTGGAGTTTTTTCTGATCTCCAAGGAGGAAGTTTTCAGTCTACCCTAACCCTAACCCTTCATAAGCCCTATGACTCCTGCTGGAACAGTATTTTTTTCAAACTTGGCAGCTTTCTGATGAATGGAATGCTGGCTGGGGAATTCTGTGGTTGAAGTCCCCTCATCTTAGTTGCCAAGCTGGAAAAACATTGAAAAGGCTGTCACAGGACATATTTCAGCATAAATATATTTTTACAAATTCAATTTATTAGTCACATTTTAAGCCTCAATTTCTTCATTACTATGAAACAAATTAATCTACCTATCAGGCCAATTATTTTTTAAATTGAGCATTGACTCCAGTGTTGGAACTGGAAAACAATTCTTTTTCTAGCAATTTATATCCTCATGATACCTAGCCCTTGGTTTTACCATTATTGTGAACATCCACTCGAGTCGACTTGGTATTCAGTTCTGCTAATAAAATTCATCAAATAAATTGAATGTTGGATTGTAAAACACTTAATTGCCTGTGACAATAAATTAGGTACAGAATAACATATGTAACATTTTTAATTAAAATAGTTTAATTCTGTACCTTGGTTTTTTTTTAATACAATGAAGAAGCAAGTATTCTAGGTTTATTTTTATTACATCTGAAAGTAATTGATATGATTAGGAAAGTATTTTGTCTTGAGATTTATAATTACAGCTTCCTTGCATGTCAATAGGAACGTTGCTCTTAATGCCTTAAAGTTGAAGGTAGATTAGTAGGAAAGGAAGAAAATACAAGAAAAGTTACAATGACTTTTTAAGGATCTTCTGCTTTTTTGTTGTGACCTTTTCCTCAGGTGAAACCAATAATTTAACTTAAATGTTAGTATATATCAAAGCAGTTATTAATAAATGTAGAATCTGCTTTCTTACAGAAATATCCATTAAGAATTGAAAAAATCTTTTATCAGGTAGGACTATTCACAGGATGTGGTCAAAAAAGACAAGATGTTGACCACAACAAATGCAATGCCTTTTTTTTATATGTATTGTGGCCATCATTTTGACTTTTTTTGATCACACCCTGTGGACAACCCGAAGATGACGACTATGGATTTACTCATGGTTTCCTATATAATTGATGACTATAACTAATTAAAAATAAGAGGCTAATTTGTGACATGAAGTAGCAATAGCACTTAGACTTATATACTGCTTCACAGTGCTTTACAGCCCTCTCTAAACGGTTTACAGAGTCACTATATTGTCCCCAACAATCTGGGTCCTCATTTTATCTCTGAAGGATGGAAGGCTGAGTCAACTTTTGACTTGGTGAGAATTGAACTCCTGGAGTGAGCAGTGAGTTTGCAGTACTGCATTCCATCCACTGCACCACCATGCCGTGAGGCATTGTGATATCATCCCAATATCACTGTGCCTCATTAAAAATGGTGTCCCTGCATTGGGCTTTTGATTAGTATTAAATCCTAAAATGGCTGCTTGATAACTTTCTATTTCTTTTTGCCTAATTACCAATTGTAAAAAAAAAAATACTTAAAATGATTTGATAATTGTAAATTATAATTGACCATGTATGTTGCTAAAATCTGGAATTGTTAAGGTGAAAGGAATTAGGAAATGTTCATTTTCCATTGTATGACAAAGTAGCATTTAGAACAGTGCTTCTCAACTTCAGCAACTAAACTGTGTAGGCTTCAACACCCATGTTGGCTGGGGAATTCTGGGAGCTGACGTCCACACAGCTTAAAGTTGCCAAGGTTGAGAAGCGCTGATTTAGGACTATAGACTTTTGCAAACTAATTCAGTAGATACCTATCTTGATCAATATACCTTCCGCAGACCTGCTTCCTATACTATTGTTTCTATCCACTAGATACATATCCAACCAACTGGTATTGTAAACTGAAAGATTAGATTAATCTTTATGATTTATTTCTTGGTCCTTCCACGTAACAGATTCCTTCTCTATGGACAATGGAACTGTAAAAGAAGATGCCTTTATACGCAGCTCTTAACTGAAAAGCATAAAACCAAAAAGAAAAGATTTATCTTAAAAAATAGTTTTTAAAAAAACAAACAAAAGAAGCCAAAGGCAGAAGGGAAATCTGTTTCCTTCAAGAAATGAGGAGGGGTTGGGTGGATGTGAAAGGACAAGGGCAGTACTCAGGACATACTTCATAGAAGCTTATAAACCACACTATTTGCATTTATCAAATATTGTTAAAGAGCATTCAGTCCTAGATTTAGACTAAGGAAATAGGAAATTACTCATTTTAAAAAGTATTGTATTTGATTTGCAGTTTAATCTACTAATAGTGCAATTTACTGAAAGTAGCCATAATGTTTTCACAGAATGTGTGTTACCTTTATTTTACATTTACAGCAGCAAAATCCTCTTTGCACTCCTTTTGCAAGAAGTGAAAGAGCCTACAGTACATTTATCTGGCACATATTTACGTGCCTCTACTACCTGGTTATACCAGAAAGAGTTCACATTGCCATTGCCAGACATTGTTGCTTCACCTTGTTTAACAATTTCAGTGGACATATGGTGCTGACTGAATTTCTGTCCGTGAATCTGAGAGAACGGTTCTAAGTGACCTAAGTTTAACTATTGTACAAGTAGTCTTCTGATAGCTAAGAAATTAAGAGTTAAATTAAAAAGAAACCAAAATACATCTCAAAAGTATGAATAAGGCAATCAGGCTGCTGCTGTTGCAATGAAGATGTACACATTCATTATTCATTATTTGATCTGAGAAATCTGGAGAGTCTGGTTTTTATAGCCAATTCAGTTTGAATAATATACCAGTAATCAAGGCCTTTGATCTTTCCAGAAAGCTGTCCTAATACCCCTTCCTCATAATGTGAATGCATGTTTGTTACTGTATAAATGTGAAAACACTTATTGGCATTTAAATTTATAGCTTTCAGTCTTTTCCCTGAATTGCCATTTGCGTATTTTTTTGAAATCCATCTATAAACAATTACAAAATTGTTAGAAGAAAGAGCTATTATGTTGTTTGTATTGTTGGCTTTTTTATTATGTTTTTATTGCTTTTAAAATAATAAAAAGAAATTAATGTCATTTAATGCCATGTATTTTTCTATTGTTGCTTTCTTTTCAGATGTTTTGTTACACTAATACAATTACTTTTACTAATGTAATAATTATACATTTGCAAATCAGTGGGTGGGATTAAGGCTGCATACATGTATCGAGATACATTGGAAAAGCTTCTAAACAATGTACAAAACTTATTTCTATAATATCCAAAAGCATGCACTGAATGCTACTATACCAAATGACAAATGTTATTTTATTTAAATTATTTTGATACTACTTCCCATTTAAGAAGGAACAGGTTTACAGTTTAAACAGTTGGTTAAAGCATACTAAAGTGTTTTACAACATAAAACAGCATCAAAGAAAAAACTGCATTTTTTAAAATCAACATTTAGCACATTACCAAAAGGCCTGGGAGAATGAAAAAGACCAGGCATAGTCCTACCATAACAAGCAAGGAAGACATTCCATAGTCAAGAGATTACCAAGGAAAATGGTAAATTTAAAGTATTTTTAAATTTTTGTTTTGCTTCAAAGCAAGAAAAGGAAACTGAAAAAGAAAAAATTAACAAAGTAAAATAATATACATGTATAAGTAATATACTTAAGAAAAATGTGAGTTTAAACAATCAATTAAAAAGTGGAAACTGCAACATTTCATCAATGCAAAATTTTAAACTATCGTATTTTTCGGAGTATAAGACGCACCGGAGTATAAGATGCACCTAGCTTTTTTGGTGGTTGTTTTTTTAAGTTTTTTTTTTAAAATTTTTAGCCAAACACACATACAAACATACAATGTATTTTCTTTGAACACAGTATTTGGCTGGTTCACAAATTTAAACAGTGTTTAGTCATTTCAATTAAATTTACAATTTCTATATTTCCTTTTTGCTATATTTATTCATCTATTTTTTTTAAAAACCAATATTATCCTTCATTCTCATCTCTAATCTTAATCAAATTCAATTTTTCCCTTCTATTCTATATTTTTATTTATTTATTTATTTAAATTTATATACCGCCCTTCTCCCTCTATATTATACCCTTCCCATTGTCATCTATTTTTGTATCCATCCTCACATTGGTTAATTATGTAATATTACAGTTGTTTAATACAAATTCAACATTTTTATATAAATAAATTAGTTATATAACTATCTTTTTTGTATATTAATCAATATGAACATGAATATTCCAATTATTTTCATGCAATCCAATTTCTTACAAATCAATTAATTATATTTACCAATAATAATAAATCAAATAATTTTCCCCATATATTCCTCCAAACCACAATTTAACCATTTCTGCTTTCAACACAATATACAATTAATAGTATCTCAATTATTACAATTCCCTAGTTAAATAGGGAATTTTCTTTTGTGTTTTCTTTTGTGTTTTAATAGTTTTTTTCTTTTGTGTTTTAAAATCTTGAACTCTCCTCTTTTGCCCTAAATTTCCCAGTGTTTGCACCTACCTTTTTTGGTGAGGAAAAAGAAAAAGAAATCTCTCTCTGCCTCATGTTTATCATGCAGCAAAGAGCCTGCTTTACTTTCAGTTTCGTTTTTTCAGCATAGCTAGGGGGAAAAAATCTGTTCCAGCACTTTGCAGCAAGCAGGAGAGCCCTGCGCAAAACAGCTGAGAGTCGGGAGGCCGATCTAATCAACTTGTGCTAATTAACCTATGCTGAAGCTGAAAGGGGCTGTTTTTTCTTGCTGTTTGCTTGCAAGGAGGTACGTGCTGCAAGGAACAGGCCAAAGGGTGGGGGCCAGTGGGTGGGCAGGGCTACATTCAGTGTATAAGACGCACCTAAATCTTCACCCCCTTTTGGGGGGTAAAAAGGTGCGTCTTATACTCTGAAAAATACGGTAGTATGGCAGTCTTCCACTGAACTATATTCCACATTTAACCATAGCCCAAGCTTAATAAATCCAGACTTCTTAATAAATAGATAATTTTCAAATATATAGCAATAGCACTTAGACTTATATACCGCTTCACATACTGTTTTGTATGTGTCAAACCCATCTTTTGCTTACTGTTGTGACTCCGAGCCAGTCCTAACAGAGGGAGAGGACCCAGAAGGTGAAGGAGAGGATTTGGCAAGGCCTCCCTCTCCAGGACCCTCCTCTCTGGCAATGCCTCAGGTTTCCTCCGAAGGCCAAGAGATATGCCAGGAGCAAGGCATTTCGGAGCAGCCGCAGATAGAGAGCAAGTGGTATGCGTTTTGGCTGGATCCCAGACAGCGTCGGAAGGATAAGCGTGCGCAGCAGAGAAAGAGGCGTGGGCAGGCCAGAGATTGAGCTGAGTCACTGGACCACATCCCACAAGGAATAAAAGGGGGTGTGTCGGCTATTCAGGCCTTGTGACGGACAAATTGAAAAGCTCGGAAGTCATATCGTGTTTCTAGAACCCTGTTAGAATCTCTTTTTGGATTTCTTCGGACTGGACTTTGACAATTCTTTGCTTTGTGGAATTAATTTGGTATATTGGACTGAGGAGAAAAAACCTTCCTTAGCGAGTAAAATCTCTTGGCAGGCAGTTCATGGGTCGCTGCCAAGATTGTTATCTTAAAGGAATTCCTGACTGTTTGATTCATTAACTCCTGGCTGTCTGTTTGTGTGTGTGCATGTGACGGGGACAGAACACTTACCCAGAAAACACAAGGGTTCCTCAATGTCAGCCAAAGGAGAAAAAAAGATGAAATACATTTAGTCAAAATCAGCATTTCTGTGCTCAACAAAAACTGACACAAATACATAATCTAAAATACATGAATCGTTCCTTGGCAGATAGTAAGGATATTTTTACTTGCCGCACTGAACATTTCTGCAATGCTTTGTGCATTCAGCATCTGTGAGATGGAGAATTCAGATCTTATCCTTTCTCCTCTTATCAGGAAGAAAGTCATATTTATCCCACGGTCACAATTCCATAGATTTGAAAGCTATTAACAGTTCTTCAGTTTAGAAGTGTCCAGCAGTGCAGTAAATAATATGCAAAATAAGGAAGTGTTTTGTCAAGTGAAAAACAGAACAAGCAAGATATGATAGTGGCTTCTTAGCTACTTCAGAGCTTCTAAACACCCTTATCACTTCATTTCAACCATTTGACATTTTTTTCTTCTAATCTTTCTGTTTCAAGAAACTGCAATACTGGGTAGTAGTTTAACATTCAGAGAGACTGACACTTTTGAGAATCACCTATTCAGGCAAAAGCATTATGGCATTACTAGAAACAACTTTTACCCAAGAAATCTTGAACTCTGGCATTATATGAAATACGAACTTTTTTTTTTTAATAAAAAGTTTTTTTATTTTTTAAGACAAACAAACATATAATACATCAGTCCTTCCGTGTGTCATCTCGGTGTTTCTTTAATATGAACTCTTTAAAGTGACCTTTTTAGTTTTACATATTTTTTTTTATAGGTTTTGATAGATTAAAAATATTTCAACCACTGAATACAAATAGATATGATACATTTATTTTTATTTCTACATCACCTTTATATCAATCTGTATAACACATTCAATAGTTTTGATTGACAATTGTGTAACTTCATTTTCCCCTCCATGTGTGACATATTTGAGATCTGCAATTATTTATTTATTTATTAGTTCGATTTATATGCCACCCTTCTCCGGAGACTCAGGGCGGCTTACAATGCTTTAAGCAATAGCCTTCATACTTTTGTATATACCTGCTTAGTAGGGCTTTTTGGCCTCCCCTAAGCGGTGTTCTATTTTATACAAAGTCAGCTTATTGCTCCCACAAACCGGGTCCTCATTTTACCTACCTCGGAAGGATGGAAGGCTGAGTCAACCTTGAGCCTGGTGAGAATTGAACTCGCAGTATTGCAGGCAGCTGGCAGCTAAGTACTACTTTAACAGCAGTTTTTAGTCTGCTGCGCCACCAAGGCTCTTTACTAGATCAGAGTAATGAAACAAAATAAATGTAAGAAGGCATAGCTTTGACTGTATTTGCAGCAAAAGCATATCCAACAAATATATTTTATTTTTTTATTAGATTTTATTCTGCTTTTATTCCTTTACAAATAACACAAGGCAGTGAACATACCTATTATTATTCCTTCTTTCTATTTTCTCCACAACAACCCTTTGAGATGGGCTGGGCTGAGAGAGAATGACTGGCCCCAAGGCAGGACTAGAACTCATGGTCTCTTAGCTTCTAGCCTGTTTCCTTAACCAATTGGTTAACTAGCTTTTTGGGTCAGAAAGTAAGGACGTGTGGATATTATTCAACTCCTAACAGCATTTTCCTCTATATCCAAAGTTACTTAGACCATTTTTTTTCCTTTTCAACATCATTATATTTTATTAGGAAACAGGGCAAACATGAAACATGGACCCATGCTGTGAATATTTTATACCTCCTAATAATCAAGTCTGAAACAAATTTATACAATAATTTTAAAAAACTATGCAGGACTTACATGCTTACTATTTAATAAAACAGCAGTTATAAGCAGGATATCCCATAAGTTTTTTTTTTTATTATTTGTAATTAACACTTTGAGAGTAATTTAACTGTATCTGGTGCTACATAAGGACCCTCAGCACTACAACAGGCCAAAGAAGAAGCTTTGGTTTCAGGTTCTTTCGTATTTTGTCCTACAGTCTCGCAATCCAGGAACTCTCTTGAACAAACAGAGTTTTTCAAATATGAATTAAATTCATTTTTCTCCTGAAAATTTTCCTGATACTGCATTTCTTCTTTTGCAGAACTTTCAGAATCCCTTTTCGTAGTTAGAAGTGGTTGATTGCTGAAGTCATGGTTCAACGATGATCCTGGAAGAAAGCAATCTAGAGCTTTGTATTCTCCAGTGTAGAAAGTCTCTTGACCAGCAACGGCAATTTTTGCAGTAACATTTGCTTGTTTGAAGCAGTTTTCAGGATTCAGCAATGGCAACTCATTCTCCCTGCAAGTATCCAGTTTCAAAATATTGATGTCATCCTCAGAAGATGAGTTCCCCAATATGATTTTCTGTTGAAGACAGGAAAAATGCAGATTCTAAGAATTTAAGCTTCCTTTACTAGTGAAAAGGGGAAAAAACCATCAGCAAAGGGGATGTAGATAGGAGAACAAAAAGAAACATAAATAATTCTACTGCTGTTACTGTTCACATGGTTGTGGCAACAACAGAAAGAAGAGTAACTACTCAGATGGTTGCTTGTGTATCCTATGAGCCATTGCTTCTTCATTCCATCAGGCAAGCAAAGAAGGTTCCCCTGGCAACCTTCTGCCCTCTAATTACTTACCATACATGATATGGTCATTCCTTCATGTGTTCACCAGCCTCAGTATGCAATTTAGCTAATGTGGCCAGAACAGAAGATACTGCAAGCTCACTCTTTGGGTCTTAAGGCAAGTTGTATTTACAGAAGGAAGGCAAGGTAGAGAAAGAAAAATAGGAGGTGGCAGCATCACCAAGGACAACCAATGCAATGGTTAGAGGCTATTTCCTCAATTTATCCAATCCAGTGGTGGGTTTCAAATTTTTTTACTAGTGGTTCTGTGGGCGTGGCTTGGTGGGCAGGGCATGGCTTGGTGAGCATGGCTTGGTGGGCATGGCAGGGGAAGGATACTGTAAAATCTCCATTCCCTCCCCAATCCAGGGGAAGGTTATTGCAAAATCCCCATTTCCTCCCAATCAGCTGGGACTTGGGAGGCAGAGAATAGAGGGGGTCAGGGCCAGTCAGAATTTTTACTACCGGTTCTCCGAACTACTCAAAATTTCAGCTACCAGTTCTTCAGAACTGGTAAGAACCTGCTGAATCCCATCCCTGATCCAATCTCATGGCTACACATCTCAACGGCTGACATGAGACATGTTGTGGCTTATAGACTGTGACAGTTATGGCTAAAAATGAATTGGAGGCTCATCATTTACAGTGATTTACATCACACTTAGCTATTAGCTGTACAGTTTACATTACACTTAGCTATTTTTTCTATGCAAAATTGCACGTTTTTTTCAATTATCTCCAATAGTAGAGATGAAGAAGATTTGACAAAGTAAAGTCCATGGCTGCAACATTCACGTTGCATTAGGACTAGGGAAAATTCTGGGCCATCACACTCATTTTCTCACAGCCTGTTTGCCCAGCAAAAATCAATCCTTACCTCAGATATAGCAGGACAACTTGCTATTACAGGATGTGGAATCTGAGGCCAGCATATTCGTTTTATCCTGATAAAACAAAAGCAAACAGATTTAGCTCTCTAATACTTGCATTTGATGACATCTCAAGAATAGAACCAAGAGGCTTGATCTTCAACTCCTGCTTTATGGGTTTTCACATGGTTTGGTACTTTCTCCATTTCTATTTGATGTCTACATGAAGCCTCTGGGTAAGATCATCCGTCACTATTGGATGACATATCATCAGTATGCTGATGATATTCAGCTGAATATCTCGAACAATGTTGAATTAAGTGATGCCACAACTTCCCTCTTTAGGCTGGAGGCTGTTAAGGTCTGGATGAGGAGCAATGAGCTGAAATTGAACCCTGGCAAAACAGAATGGTTTGGGGATTGGGTTCTGGTTTATAGGGAATTGTCATCTTTGATCCTTGATGGAGTTGCACTGCCCCAGATGTTCCTGGTGCATAATTTGGACTCACAACTCCTGCTAGAGAAGCAGGTGGCACTTGTGGCTAGGAGGGCTTTTGCGCAATTGCAGATTGTCCTCAATTATACCCTTTCCTGGACCAACAGTCCTGCTCACATTCATCCATACCCTAGTCACCTCTTTCTGTTGGAGATGGGAAAAATGTAGATTCTAAGAATGTAAGCTTCCTTTACTAGTGAAAATGGAAATAACCATCAGCAAACAGAATGTATAGTAGATGGTGGGGGGAGGGAAAAACAAATATTTCTACTGCTCTTACTGTCCACATGGAAATGGCAACAACAAAAAAAAGAGTAACTACTCAGATGGTTGCCTGTATCTACATGACGCTCTAAATGAAGATGAGTAATGTGGTTCACATGGGGCTACTCTTGAAAAGTATCTGGAAGCTTCAGTTGGTCTAAAATGCAGTGGCCTGCATGCAAATCTAGATTTGTACCCATCGTCCTCTTGTGGAAGCTGCATTGGTTGCTGATTTGCTTCCAGATCTAATTAAAGGTTTTTGTTATCATCTTTAAAGCCCTATGAACTTGGGGCCAGGTTATTTGTCTCTTCCCAGTTACATCCTCCCAGCAAATTGAGGAGCCGGGATCTGTCATGGGTTCCCCCATTAAGGAGGTCCATCTAGTGGGACCAAAAAGAAGATTCTTTTCCATAATGGTCCTCTCCCTGTTGAACATTATCTCTTCATAGATAAGAGTGGCCCTAACCTTGTTAGTCTTTTGAAAGGCTATTTGTCTGCGCGCCTGGAGATCCCAGTCTGATACGGAGCCCATCAAGTAGCTTATCTGAATGTTGTCATGAGGGGAGGGGAGAGAAATGGGATTGTTTGGGGTTTTGAGATCTTATTTTTATAAGCCACTCTGAGTCGCTGTGAGTTGAGTATCCATATAAATCTTTTTAATAAATAAATAAAGATTTTATTTGGTCCTCCTAAACTGAAATATTTGGGGTATTGTGACTATTCTGAGGGAACTTTGGGTACTGGTATTCCCTTCTTGATAATATAATAAATAGAATAAATTATAATATAATAAATTAATGTAATATAATATATAATTAATGTAATATAATATTTCACTTGGTGTTTGGAGGACATGTATGCAATCGTCCAACATTCTGAAGAAGTTCCAATTCGTTCAAGGTACTGTATCAATAAATATGGAAGGGGAGACTTCACCTGGTCCCTGCTTAAAGCTAGCTTCTAAAATTATTTTGTATATAACCCATGGAACCCAATATTTGGACATGGGAAGTTGGATATGGGAATGCTATGTTTGGGAAATATAAAGTATTGAATCATTCAAAGCTCCTTCAGTTGAAAACTGCAACCATCTGGAGAAAAATGAACACTTTAGATTGTGTTTAAGAAGGAGTTTCATGTAAGTAATGAAAGGGGAAAAGGCAAAGAAGTTGGATTGTGATTTGCAACAAGCTTTGCCACATAGCCTCATCTGAACCTAGTAATTTAAGCAGTGCTCACTTCACAAAGTGATATAAGTGAAAAATAATTGCAGCACTTTCACAGATGGAAGAAAAGTAAAAAAAAAACAAAAAAAAACCAGCGTTGAACTATTGAAGACTGAGATTATATATTAGATTAAATAATAGCCAAAAGAAATACTTGTAGAGGCCTGGACCATATTATTGTTTTTTTTTCACATTTTGTTTTCAATCATTTAAAAATATACTCACGTTTTATATTTTAGAGCCCATAATAGTCCAAAACTTAAGAAGCATGTCATGAATATTCCAATGAAGACAATTGCAGGAATAATGTCTGTTGTATCTAGAGGAGCGGGCAATCAAATTAAAATGTCAAAATTCCAAATATTTTAGGTTAAAACTTTCTAGTGACATTTTAGACACAGGAATCAATGAAATCAATGGGATTGAACCCTTGAGGTTGCATCCAAGAGAGAAATACATATTTGTGCAGATAACTGAGCTAAGAATATGGCTCTGGCTTCTCCTTACTTTGAACTGGTTCAGCTGGTTATCGTGACTAAAATATAACTATTCTACACAATCTTTAGTGCTCATTAACCTGTAAAAGCAAGACATTAAAAACACCAGGCTGTTTAATGTTTCTAGTTTTTCCAATTGGAGACGAAGATTAACATTGTCTCATTTTCATTCATCTTAAGCCGTTGGATTCTTTCTAGTTAAAAACAACACAAACACGTCTTATGTAAAAATGATATATGAAGAGGAAAAACTATTTGCCTTGAATAACTTACTAAATAGCTTAGTAAAAAAGTACATTTCATTTCCCTTTGTTCCTCCAATGATGGTGTTTGCCTTAATCCAAGCTCTGTAATTGGTGTTGGGCTGCAAAGACTTCAGGTTGTACTTCAGGATACTGCTGTCCACAGTTTCTTCTATTAAGACATAAATGGAAGGTTAAGTGGTCATCTCACCCAGCGTAGAAGAGCTGCCATCCGTTCAAGCCTCTTTCATCCTTCATTCATTCCAAGTGCTTTTATGCTACTTCACATATCTATGTGATTTATAATAAAAGGCACGGGAAACTCCCTCAGCAATTATGCCTAAAACCTCTTTCTACAGGCCATTTCCTTGCTCTGCCTTTCACTTTGCTTTCCTTTTAACCACCACTCTCTGAAACATATCTGAACAGCTCTGGAGTATAAAGCTAATCAACAGGGAGGAAGTGTGAAGCATAGCTTCCAGCTTCCCAGCTATTGAAAAGAGCATTTGTTTAGAGGACAGATTAGGAAAGCATATTGTCAGCATTTAAGTGCTGTAAGTAATATCCTATTGAGTTTACACTGGAGCAGGATATTTACAACTGCTATCGCTTCAGCCATTCTTCCATGATATTTAATTGGAAGATGCACATGTGCACGCACACACAAACACACATACGTTTTAAAAAATGATTTTATTTACACCCTGCCTTTCCACTAAATTGAGCATGATCAATAGCATCCCCTCAGGCTGGCTGATAAGACTCCTTCAGAGTCCCAAAGGTGCTTTTTCAGGAGGCAATTGGACTTTCTTGTTTTTTATTTTGAAGATGTTTCACTTCTCATCCAAGAAGCTTCTTCAGCTCTGACAGGATAGTGGGGAATGGAAGGATATCCCGTCTCCACTATCCCGTCAGAGCTGAAGAAGCTTCTTGGATGAGAAGCAAAACATCTTCAAAAACAAAAAAACAAAAAACAAAACAAGGAAGTCCAGTTACCTCATGAAAAAGCACCTTTGGGATAACCATGACCTGGATGACTGAGAATCTCTACAGACTTCTTCAGAGCTATTTTATTTCCCAATAGATATCTGCAAAATAAGATAGTTTCACAAAATCATGGCTTAGAACTAGTCAGCTTCTTGTCACTTAACTGTTGGCTCACTAGGAATCTTGTCCTAAAATATTTGGAATCTGACATTTATTTTGCTTGCCCTTCTTGCCCCTTCCTCTAGGCATAACAGATGCTGTCCTTGCAATTATCTTCACTGGAATATTGATATCATGCCTATTAATTGTGGCATCCCTGGGAAAATGGATTCAGCCATATTTGGGCTTCAAGAGCTGGACTAAAAAATCTAGTTAGCCATTAGATAGAGCAAAAAGATTCAGAAAATTAAATTCAATTGCCCACACGATTTGTTAATTTGCTGATTGCAAAGGTGGAGATGTTATTGGTATGCTAATATTGTGTGTTTGAACAAAGTGACAATTGAGACACTTTCACATAGCACTGAGGCACTCCAGCATTAATTTTATATTTCTGCATCATTACCTGAATTTGACAACTTAGCTTATCTTTTTCTGACCTAAGTATGATATCTAATCCTCATTCTAATCAGAAGCTTTGCAGATCTTTCAAGTGGTCCATTTTCAGCTTCAGCTGATCTAGTATTCTACTCACAGGTGCTTAATATGGAAAGTGCCTTGAACCTTCTTTTAAAATAGGGGTGTGGAACTCAAGGCCTGGGGGCCACATCTGACCCACAAGGTGTTTAGATCTGGCCCGCAGGGCCGCCCTGCAAACAGAGAAAGACCGGCCCGCAGTGCCTCTGCCAGTGAAAATGGAGCTCAGGTGGGCTGTGTGAGGCCCTCTCAAGCTCCATTTTCACTGGCAGAGGGTTGCAGGAGGCCATTGTGGCCGAAAATGAAGTTTGCAAGGGCCACGGGTGGCTCTCCCAAGCTCCATTTTTGTTGTCAGAAGGTTGCAGGAGCCATCACAACCAAAACAGAGCTTGGGAGCCCGTTTTCACAGGCAGAGCACTCGGGCCACCACAGGCACCCCCAGCATGAGTGATGTCATGCTGGCCATGCCCACTCTGGCCACACCCACCCCGGCCCCCCAAGGTCAAACTCAACCCTGATGCGGCCCTCAGTGAAATCGAGTTTGACACCCATGTTTTAAAACAACTTCTCTGATTTTTATACAGTATGTGACAAAAACCAGTTCACCTTGCTGATTCTGCTTTAAAATACAACTAAAATTGCCTTCAGAAGCTACGGGTGCTCCATCACAGGAGACTTTCAAAAAGAGACTGGACAACCAGGGGGTTGGACTAGAAGACCTCCAAGGTCCTTTCCAACTCTATTATTCTATGCCCGTGCAATTTGTAGATCTGCAAGTTGATCCATTGGTGTACCCCTGTAATTTTCAAGTAGCAAAGAGAAGAGAATTTTCAGCTACAGAAAAGTTGCTGGGATAAAACTGCCTTCTCCTTTGAAACTACTTAGCTTTTTCCCCTGCAGTAACTGTTTCATGGATGGGATTGCTAATTATGTTTGTTTTGTGTGGTGGCAAATTGAGTGGCTTGTTGTTGCATCCAAAAGGTCCTTTTTCTGATGCGGTTTTCCTGATACATGCTACAGAATCAAAAACTATTTAAAATATCTACCATCCTAACTGTCAAATACAAATTTGGCTTCTTTAGAATCAGTAAACAGCCTTTTTTCTCCCCGTTCTTTAAAATTAACCTAATATCTGCTGTAGCCAAGAATGAGAAAGGTCCAAGCTCGTGAGAATGTTTGTAGAAATAGTTTAGAATGAGGCTTCCTTTCTGCTCTGCTCAAGTCATTGCAATAATATGCAACCATATTGCATCTATTATAAACACTGTGAGCCATCAAAAACCTTTGATTTTAAACACACAAGGGTATCCTTGTCTAACCTTGCAAATTTGACTAATGACAGCCTCCTCCTATAATTATTTTTTACTGGGCATTCCTTGGGAAAAGCAGCCAACCCATAGGGTAAAATAATGCCAAAACTATAAAGCACATCATTGTATAATGACATTACTATAAAGCCAGGGTTCTATGGAAATTCTCAGTCATTTAGGTCATGGTTGTCCCAAAAAACAAAGTCCATTTGCCTTTTGAAAAAGCCCCTTGAGGATATAAAGCTAGATATTTTTTCAGCAGAGGTTCTCAGTTTGTCATTTAGTGTAAACTAGGACCATCCTTAAAGGTAAAGGTAAAGGCTCCCTCGCACATGCGTGCTAGTCATTTCCGGCTCTAGGGGTGGTGCTCATCTCCATTTCTAAGCCAAAGAGCCAGCGCTGTCCAAAGATGTCTCTGTGGTCATGTGGCAGCCATGACTAAATGCCAAAGGCACACAGAATGCTGTTACCTTCCCACCAAAGGTGGTCCCTATTTTTCTACTTGCATTTTTAACATGCTTTTAAACTGCTAGGTTGGCAGAAGTTGGGACAAGTAACAGGAGCTCACTCCATTATACGGCACTAGGGATTCGAACCGCCTAACTGCTGACTTTCTGATCGACAAGCTCAGTGTCTTAGCCAATGAGCCACCACATCCCCAGGACCATCCTTGAGTAACCACAAACACCTTTCCTACAAGCTTTAGAAAAAAATTAGGAAACCAAAAAAATATACTATGGAAGCAAAGAACATAAGACCAAAAAGAATTAGAAGAAGCTGACTCAAATTATTCCAGGCTATAATGTGTCTTAGTGGGGGTTCATGTACAGCCCTTTCTGCATTATGTTAAGTAGAGATGAGAAAGCAGAATATACAGTATCTTTAGAACAGGTTTAGGATTATGTAGGATTAACTTGAACAAAGATAGCTAGATGAGACAAAGAGACAGAGGCAGAGACAAAGATACTAAGAGAAATGATTTTAAAATAGTACCAAGTTAAATAAAGGCTATCTCAGAGTAAGGAAGCATACATTTTAAGTTAAAGCATTGGTAATAGTTGTTCTTTTTTCAGTTTGTATACATACCAAAACGTTTGTTGCCTTCTTCATAAATTATAGTATAGTTAATAATCACACCATTTCTGTCTGCTTCTGGAATTTCTTTCCATGTTATGATAGCATAATCTTTACCGGTATTTTTCACTTCAGCCTGAGGGCCTGTAGATGGGACTAAATCATATAGAGTAACTTTAACAATTTCAAAATAACTTAGCAGTTGGTTAGGAAATAGTTCTTCCAACAAATTTTAGTAATCTTAGTTACATTAATCATACGCACATCATTATAGTAACATTATATATAATACACTCGTCTTTCAGCTTCTGATCCTTTCCTTTACATACTGATTTTAGAATATTATATAGAGATATGCATAAAAATATTCTCCCTTTCTAATTTCTTCCTCTATTCTAAATCTTAATAACACAAATCTTATATTAGTAAGTGTTCTATTTCTATCATCTCTTGCCCGTTTTAATATTTCTTGTTGACTTTTGGAATGTTTTCCATATTTCCACCTTGGGATTTTATATAAATTACATTAATCAAACTCATATCATTATAGTAACATTATAAATATTACGATTAAAATTGTTAGCATTGTAGTATTTGCTCCACCATATATATAATCCATCATTTAATTATTCAACATTTTAATACACATTACCAAAAACCATAACATTATTTAAATATACATAATACCATCATCTTTCAACTTCTAATCTATTCATATACCTACTGATTTTAAAATATTATATAAGATTATATTTACCAATCTTTTCCCTCTTTTTAATTTCTACCTCTATTTTAAATCTTATTAGCAGAAATTATATTAATAGGTATTCTATTTCTATCCATCATCTCTTGCTCATTTTAGTATTTCAATTCTTGTTGATTTTTTTGCTCTGCTTTCCTCCCTTGGTATTTTGTATCTCCATGCATCATTCATATTTAATCTAAGTATTCCCTATGTGTCTACCTCTATCTCTCGCTGTCAAACCTTCACTATGTCTATCAGTGTCTCTATCCTCACTTCAGGAGTGTCTTTTTGTTTAGTCAATTCTACTTTTGGATCTCTTAATGTGTAATCTGCCTGGTCTATTTCATCCATTTTGTTTATCTCTTCCTTCTCCTTGTCTTTTTGATTCATTTGTTGTTTTATCAGCTCTATTGTTTTCTCTGTTTTTTCTATTTTCTCCTCTATTTCCAGGGTTACCTGTTCATTTTTCATTGTCAATTGCTTTTTCTGTCTCTCAACTATATCATGCATCAAATCCTTTATCTCCCTGTGGTTCTTTGTTATGGTTTCATGAATACTTTGAAACATCAATAATATTTCTTTTTGAAATATACTTATTTTTCCCTGTTGAAGCATTTTGTCTTATTTTAATAAGTCACAAAGTTACTGAAGAATCTAACAAACTCTCCATTGTCTGTAACACCAAAAAGCCAGTATTAAAACAATTCTCTCAGTCTCAAAATCATTCCTCAGGATACACAGTATGTATCGTTCTTTGTAGTTCTCCACCAGTCAGTTTACTTCTTCCAAGTTTCCCAATAAGTCTTTTTTTTCCTTTAATTTTCCTTCTTTCACCTCTTTATACAGTTATCAGACAACATTTATAGTCCTAAATGATCCAACAGGTTTCGCCATGTCTTCATAAGCCATGTAGTCAACTCTTTGATTTCAATGATAATTCCAGGTATTTGTAAGCCACTTTACTTAGCAATCTTCAAAAGTCTCAAAAATCTTCTCCTTCTTAGCCATGAAGCAAATAGATATCAGACATTATGCAAAGAGAAAAAAGAAAAAAGAAAGCAAAACAATCTTCCAGATGTTACTTCAAGGACATTTCCAGACTTGTAAAAATATAGTGTAGTTTCTTTCTTTCACCAAAAGATGGCACCATCGCCTTTTCAAAGCTATATCCAATTTAAAAGCTAGAAACCTATTTCTGTTTTTGTTCAAGCAATTTTTTCCCAAAAATCAACCAAATGTTTCCAGCATTTTAAAATGCCTTTTCAAAATATTGCCAACAGAGTATTCAAGTTCAGTCTTTCTGTATGTTAAAGAATTTTATATTCTCTCTTAGGTTCACTTTCTTTCGGGTCTGTAATCGTTCTCTAAGTATTTGTTTGCTGCTTTTTTACCACTTTAAAGAGTCTATCTTTTTGGAGTTTCTTTTCTTTGGGGTTAATCTCTAGTATAGAAGTTGAAAATGGATGGAAACTGATCAAGGAGAGATTCAACCTAGAAATGAGGAGGAACTTTCTGACAGTGAGAACAATCAACCAATGGAACAGCTTGTCTTCAGAAGTTGTGGGAGCTTCATTACTTGAGACCTTCAAGAAAATATTGGACTGCCATTTCTACATCAGAAATTGGACTGCCTACATCAGAAATGGTGTAGGGTCTCCTGCTTGAGCGGGGGGTTAGACTAGATGACCTATAAGGTCCCTTACAACTCTGTTAATCTGTTATGTGTTATCTGTTATGACAGTCCACTGTTCACACACTGCTCCAACACATTTCTTTCTTCAGTTGTCCCAGCTTCAAGGCGGCCATAACGGCCACCTCTCCTCTTTGCTGTCGGATGGGAGGGTAAGCCTTGGATCAAGCAGGAGAGTTGCCACTCTCTGCAACCTACAAGGCGCTCCTCCTTTCTTTTTCACCCTTCAGGGTGACTTTAGCCCTTTACGGGGCCCCAAACGAGGAGGGTTCAGCCTAGGTTCGCAGAGCCCTGCTCACTACGACTGTCCCGCAGCAGCGCCATACCAGAAGTTCAGTTTGGCGTTGATTGCCTAGTGATCCTCCACAGACTTCCTTTGTATTTGTTAATCCCTTATTATAAAATAGGAAAAAGACATTTCTGCTGAACAACATATGCATGCAAGCTTCTTCGCTAAAGCTGTTATGAATTCACACCATATCAACCCAGGACCTGTCAGGGTTCCAAGTAACAAAATCAAAACTCCGAGGCAGGCATCTTTCTCAAAGTATAGTTTTATTAGAGATGTCATATTGGCACATCTGGGAAAAACCCGAATCTGAAAGCCCCACATTTCCCCCCCCCCAAAGTAAAGTCAAAGTTCCTTCCCCTCAATCCACATGTGTGTCCAGTGGTCCAATCTGGTCAGTGTTCCAACTCTGTTAACTTATTTATTTATTTATATATTTTGTTGCATTTCTATGCCGCCCCACTCCCAAGGGACTCTGGGCGGCTTACAACAGAGAATAAAACAATGCAACAATATCCCATACAAAAGTTAAAAGAAGACATTAAAACATTAAAACGTTAAAACACATACAATCCAATTTGTGGCCGGGTCTCGCAAGATCACTATAACGAGATCAACTTCCAGTCACACCTCCCCAGGTGCTGGCAAGACGTCCTTGATTCCCAGGGGAAAGAATGTGGTTATGATTATACACCATACGTTATCTCCACCTCCTCCCTCCCATTCCCACAGCTTGCCCAACCACCGCTGTGGCAGCTCTGAAGACTCCATTAAAGATGGCTCCAGGGCTGACAGGACCACTGTTTATACGTACCACTTTCATGGAAGTAGATACTGATGGAAGTTGGTTTTTTTATTTCATCTTTACATAAAGGGTATACTGAAAAAGTATAGTATCTATAGTCTTTAAAGATTCCTGGAAGAAAACAGACATAAGAGAACGTTACCCTTCTTTCAAGGTTGCTAGCAAGAATTCTATTAATTGCTACTTTCACACTACACTGCCAAGAAAGGCAGAAAAATAAAACATGTGAGTGAGAGCTTCAAATCATTAGTAAAGCTTTTACCCTTGTACTGTACCTAATAAGTATTCCCAAATCCAGGGGGCATCCATAGGAAGGAGGGGAATCAAAATGGCAGCCATGTCTGTGTAATTAAAGCCACAGCTTTTTTTATACATGCTATAAAATGTGCCATAGCATGTAAAAAGTGGAGGAACTGCAATCATGCAGTTGCAACCACCAGGGTATTTTTGACCCCTCCTGCCCACCCCCGATGCAATTTGCCTCTGTATTACATCTGCCACACAGATAAGTTAACATACCAATCTAGCATAAAAATGATTTACAAATATTCATTTCCCTGCTGAATATGGTAGAAGTATATGAATATGCAGCGTGAATCAAGATGAACAAGCCATTTCCAAGAAAAATCTTCTAAACCAGGTTGCTACATTTAGGACTAACTTTATATTCTTACTAATTTTATTCATATCCGTATGCATTTACGCATATTTTCAGGCATATTTTCCAAAACTTGCTGTTCCCACAGCCCCAAGCAGCAGATAAGCAGAAATCTCGTAAATGATATATGGAAGGCTAAAATCCTTAAATACAAAAGTAGCTGCAATTAAGCCAAAAGCATTTAAAATTGAGAGAAAACCAGGTCAAAAGCTTCTATTATTAGCTTCTGAAGAATCGACAACAGCCTGGGAAGATGTTTGCTTTATCTTTTCCCTGGAACTAAGTAAGACCAATGCCTGCTGTGGAAAGTGAATCCCAAGCCAAAGAGACTATCAACAGACTCAGAGAGTCCTTCCCATTTTGATTGATATCTAAGACACTTTTGGAACTGCTGAACTCTCTTGGCAGTGGAGCAGAATATAATTACATGAAGCAATACATTCAAAACAGCCATTTCTTTATGCCAAAAGTGTTGTGTGCCTACTGAACGGCATAACCTAATTTAAGCAGCAATGGAGGACAATCTGCTCAATCTTCAGAATACTTCAGAATAACAGAGTTGGAAGGGACCTTGGAGATATTCTAATCCAACCCCCTGCTCAAGCACTCTAGACAATGGCTGTCCAGTCTCTTCCTAAAAGCCTCCAGCGATGAAGCATCCACAATCCCTGAAGGCAAGTCATTCCATAGGTTAATTGTTCTCACTCTTAGGAAATTTCTCCTTAGTTCTAGGTTGCTTCTCTCCTTGATTAGTTTCCATCCACTGATTCTTGTCTTGCCTTCTGGTGCTTTGGAAAATAGATAGAGATGGAAGCCTCTGAAATATCAGAACCTCATGTCACCCCTAGTCCTTCTTTTCATTAGACTTGACGTACCCAATTCCTAAAACCGTTCTTCATATGTTTTAGCCTCCAGCCCTCTATCTTTGTTGCTCTTTGTTTTTCTTTTCTGAACAATCATTTAATGTAATGGAATGTGAAAATGGCCTTGGGAGATGGAGCAATGAGATGCTGTCTAGGGAATTGTCAAATAAAAGGCAGCATAATGGGCATGGCAAGAAACTCAGGGGGGATTCTCCCTAAGTTATCAGGCTGTAAAAGTGACAGTGGAAGAACTGTACTTTCAGATTTGCAAAATTTGTTAATGTAGGTTTACAATTAGGCAGAATTAACTTATCTGACCACTGGTCAAGAGAAAGGTGTGTTTGCAATTGACAAGTTTATTAAGAAATTTAAGGAACAAAAGGCAGAGGAAGGACATGGCAAAAGTAAGGATGGTTTGCAAATATAGAGTTGCATAGTAGATGATCTTGGTGTAAATTAGACTTAACTATATTTATTTTCATTTTTCCTATCTCATGCCTTTAATTTCTTAATTTCTTACTCCTTCTCTGTACTTGGCAGAGGTGAGGTTGCTTGCTCTAAAAAAAAAAAAAGAAGAAGTAGCACAATGGATATGTTTGTGCATTGCTAATTCCCAAATAAATCTCTCAATGTCTTACAATCTTTAGTATCAGAAAAATGAGAAGGGAAGATAGGACACAATTGAAAAAACATACTGTAAATAAAAAGACAACATTTAGAAGCACTACCTCCCATAGTATGCGCAATTAGCCTTAAAATCATACCTTTGGGGGAAGTCCATTCTGTGACATTTGTTATCCTATGCCAAGATCGCTTGTTTGCACCTTTCTCCAACGCATCACGCCATTCTATAATATAACTGTTTATTCCTGAATTTGTTGAATCCCATGTCAAAACCATTTTGTCTTGTAAAGCAGAAGCCTTCAGACGAGTAATTCTTTTTTGTTCTACAAGAATAATTGCCAAAGTTAACTAGGTAGAGTAAATGACAACAATTTAAGCAATGATTGTTAATTGGCAATGCATGGCAGGGGTGATTTACAGCAAACAGAAACAGAAAACTATAGCGTGATAATATACATTTTAAAATACTGAGAAAGGGTTTCATGTTTCCTTACAGAAAATGTGGCAACTTAAATTGGAATACAGGTAATCCTTGAATTAGGACCACAATTCAGCCCAAAATTTATGTTGCTAAGTGAAACATTTGCTAGGTGAATTTTGCCCCATTTTACAACCTTTCTTGCCACAGTTGTTAAGTGAATCACTGCAGTTGTTAAGCTAGTCACATAGTTGTTAAGTGAATCTGGCTTCCCCATTGACTTTGCTTGTCAGAAGGGGATCCCATGACCCCAGGACAGTGCAACCGTCATAAATATGAGTCAGTTGCCAAGTGTCTGAATTTTGATCACGTGACCATGGGGATGTTGCAACGGTTGTAAGTGTGAAAAATGGTCATAACTCGTTTTTTTTCTGTGCCGTTTTAACTTTGAATGGTCATTAAATGAATTGTTGTAAGTCGAGGACTACCTGTACTTATTATCACTACAGGATGCAAAAATAAACAGTAAATAGAGTGAAATGTTCCAATTACAGAGTGAAAAATGTTCCAATTACGGAACAACAGTGAGGTGATTACAGCATTTCACTGAGATCTTTCTCTAAATACTCCAGACTGCTCGTATCTAATAGGAAGGAAACATTTTACATGCATACAGAATCTATGCAAATCCTGATGGTGAAACAACCCCAAAGTTAAGAATGGGAAATGCAAAAATTAAAATTAAAAAAAATCAACTCAGCTGATCTCTCAGATGAGGATATTAAGCTATTGCATATCTCTTTGGCACAGATTTTTAAGTCACAAATTTCTTTTAGCCTTTTTACTAATGTAATACTTAAGGCGAACTGTTTGGTCATTCAATTGTTCCCCAGTAAGCAGGAAAAGAGACAATTTTGCGAGTGACTTTTTTCCCTAGAGGTTTTGTGGGTGAATAACACTGAGGCACACAAAACAACTACAGATATTCCTTGAATATTGTTCAGAGAATTAGACTTGTTAACAACTTCCTCCCAAATGAAACGTTGTATCTTTTGCAAATTTTGCAAGGAGAGCCAAGTTCTTTCTAAACCACATAGGAAGAAACAACTAAAAAGATAGCAAAAGGGACACCGACGATCTTGATATCCTGAGGAAGAGGCGTAAGACAATATCAAAAGAACTTTAGCTCCTGATAAGAAACCAACTTGTGAGATGTAGTCACAGTTATAGAAAAATAGCTAGGGGACCTCACTGAATGAGAATGCACTCTCTGTCATACTAATGGTGAAGCATCAACTGAAGGGTATACCTGATTTGCAAAACTAAATGGGTCAATGATAAAGGAAAATATTTGTAACCCAGGGTTGAAATGAGGGGTCCTAAGTGGTCTCTGACATTGGCTATTTTCAGATAATAATATTACTTAGTTTGGGTAATGAAATATCTGCAAGAAACCAAGCTCAGAGACCACCAAATGGGGTGTCTTTACTCTTCATTTAGCCAAGAAGATATACTAGATTCAAGGATGGACTGCTGGGGGTTTGCAGGGGTTCGGGAGAACCTCTAGCTAAGATTCCGTGCAGTTCGGAGAACCCCCAAATCCCAGTCCTGGCTGGACACACCCGCCCTGCCCTGCCCCTCCCAGGAGTCCCCACACGGCCCATTTTGGATGCAGGTAAGTGCAGGGCGCGACAGAGGCTTGGGGAGGGGAGATACATTCATATATTTCAGTTTACTATTTTATTTTTGACTTTTTGACTCCTGGAGTCTGTCTGTATAGTTTTCTTGGCAAACTTTTTCAGAAGTGGTTTGTCATTCTCTGATAAGAATCCATATAGTTAGCAAGCATTCTCTCTCTTTCTCTCTCTTTCTCTTTTTCTCTCTCCCTCCCTCCCTCCCTCCCTCCCACCTCCCCTCTCTCTCCCTCCCTCCCTCTCTCCTCTCCCCCCAGGGGTGGGTTCTACTTACTTTTACTACTGGTTTGCAATGGGAGCGCGCACACTTCTGCACATGTGCAGATCACCCGTGATGACATCATGGTGGGTGGGCAGAGCCTCCCGTCAGTTTTACTACCGGTTCTATAGAACCGAACCGAACCGGGGGCAACCCACCACTGTCTCCCCCCTCTCTGCTGCACTGCAACAAAGCACCAGTGGCACATAAGTAGTAATGTAGTATACAGTATTTAAAAAGCCCTTTCTGAGTCTGTGTATATATGTGTGTGTTGTGTATATCTGCATAAACATACCTATAGTTTCTTCATGTTTTGATGGAATTCTAATAGTAGCTTCAGGAGAATCTCCAGCACTGTTATGAGCAGTAAAACTGATAGTATAGGCATCCTCCGTCAGGCTGAGAATGACAGGCTCATTCTGATTGTATTTTTTTTCAAAAGTAGTGTTGACACGTTCTGCAATGTATTTTACTGTATAGCCAGTTATTATTCCTGAAGATGGGAATTCTTTATGTATCTGGTCAGTACATAGTAGCAATTAAGAAGAATAAATGATTAAATGTGTATAGGACTGGACTCCTGAAGATATAATGCATGAATAATACAATAGTAAAAGAGGCACTTGAAAAGTATTCACATGTTAGGTGCAGAATTAAAGTTATTCACAGTTCCAGGTAATTTTGTACCGTACAAATGTGCAAATGATTAAAACTCATTTAAACATTTAAAAAAACAGAACCGTTAAAACCTAAATCGTTAAACAACATAAATTAAAAGACAAACATTTGGATTTTTTTCCCTCCGGTGTCTTTAGGAAGTCAATTTAGATCCTGTGAAAGCTTTGTTAATTAAAGAGAACAATTTGTTTCCAATTGATAAACCGCTTCTGGGTTTTATGCTCGAAACAGAAAAAAAAAATGAAACTTTGATTGTAGGTTTTGATTAATTTGCTGTTATAGAAATGGTATCTACTAGAAATGTAAAACAACAAGTTGAAAGTGAAACGTTTTTTGTAGTCTACTGCACTGAAAAAAAATCAGGTCAGTGCTTTTTTCCCCCTTCTTTATCCTTATGCTCTTTTCCTTTTTTCCTTTCCCTTTATTTTCTGATTTTTGTTTCCTTGTATTTTATAATAAACCTTAATTTAAAAAAAAAAAATTAAAGCTTCCTTTGGAAGAATTATGCAAAGGACCAGAATCTTAGGAATCAACATCATCAGGTTTTCCAATGAGGCCAATTTGTATCTACAACATTACATACAACCACACCTTCACCAGCTTCCAGGACTAGTAGCTACTACCGGTAGCTATATATTCTCATCAGCAATTGCAGAAAAACTACATAATCTCTAAAACATTAATCAGTGTAGGATCTTTTTAAACCATTTTTATTTAAACAAAATGTTATCTTAGTCTTTTTAGCCTAAAGCATGATACTGTGAATATTACCATTTCATTTTAAGAAATCCCAATAACCAGGATTTCTCAGCTTTTGATAAACCTTGAAGACCATCTGTATCTTCCTTATCTTTCCTGTTTCTCATTTTTTTTAAAAAAAAAAAACTGTACGCTTCAATGAGAAATGAATACCCTTTTAGATAATTCTTCTCAATTCTTCCCTTCTTGATTCTTAAAATAAACCAATAACTTGTTGAAAGGAATTTAGAATAAGACATTTAAATTCATTCCTTTTCCAAAGTCAATGGATATGAATTTTGCTTTTACTGGGAAAGTTAATCCAAGCAAGGAGATAAACTAGACTTTGAGTTTAAAACTTCTACATATATAGTTTTAAAAGTCTACTGAGAAATAAACCAGAATATTCATAAAAAAGAAACTGGATCTTTAAATGTCTTGATATTTGTTTACCTTCCACAAAAGATGCACATTTCTGGTTCCATTAGGATAAGTTTCAATTACTCTCCATAAGTCTACTTTCAAAGGAGCTGTTAAAAACAAATGAAACAGAATTGTAAAATATGAAAAGAACTGATTCTTTCTGATCCCTTGGATTGGTATCACTTCCTTGTGTAGGTTAAGTAATGCTTAGTCTTCTCTAACAGCAAACAGACATTGCACTTAACAAGAACACAATGACACTCCATTCCAGTTATTCTAGTAACTGGATATGTCAGACCATCATGACTGAATAACTGGAAATACTTAATCCAAATAAAAGAGATCTTTCAAGATTCATGTTAGCCCTTCAAGGTGATGACAAGGTGACATCAGAAGAAATACTAGAACTCTTGAAAACTAATGGTATCTCTCCCTGACTTCCTTTCATACCAGAAAGAATCAAGGCAAAGCTACTTTAGGTCTATTTCTTCTGGGTTCCCCCCCCCCATTCTGAGCCCATATTCTTTTAATGGCGTTTGCATATTTTCTCCAAGGTCACTTCTGTGCCTCTCTGCGAAAGAGCTACATCTCACCTGCCAAACAAGTTGCTCTAAAGGTAGTCAGTTGGGAAGAAGTGCTCTATAAACACACACACACACACACACACACACACACACACGTACACACACTATATATACATATATTGTATATATACAGTGAACTCAGTTTAGTTGGGTTTTAGCTGAAGAATATATATGTGGGTGTGGGTGTGGGTGGGTGTATTATTCAGCTAAGACCCAATTAAGCTGTGCTCGCTGTAAATATACAATATATGTGCCATTATTCATGCAGGTTTTTAAATAATTTATAGTTTATTTTTCTATTTATTGAAAACATTTATATAGCCATCAGTCTTCTAATCAACTCTGGATGGCTCCCAAGGAAAAGTTAAAACAATATATTTAACCATATTAAAACTAAAATCAATGTTAAAATGTTAAAAGCAACAAAGAGCCGAGGTGGCGCAGTAATTAGAGTGCAGTACTGCAGCTACTTCAGCTGACTGCTAGTTCAGCAGATCAGCGGATCAAATCTCACCGGCTCAAGGTTGACTCAGCCTTCCATTCTTCCGAGGTGGGTAAAATGAGGACCCAGATTGTTAGGGGGCAATATGCTCTTTAGTATACTGTCTTTGGTGTAAGCCACCCAGAGTCCTCGGAGAGTGGGCGGCATAGAAATATGACTAATAAATAATAAATAAATAAATAAATAAATAAATAAATAAATAAAGAAAGAAAGAAAGACCCCGGCTTCAAGTCAAACATCTAATCTGTAATTATCTGATCTTAGCCCAGCATATGAGGAAAAAACCAGGTCTTCACAGCTTTACAGAAGGCTAGGAGCTGTGGTGGTCTGCCAGCAGCCTGTGGAGCTGGCAGCAGAGTCGGACAGTGAGGAGGCTGGGGAGGAACATGGGTCAGTCCTGGAGTCTGGGGAAGGCCCGGACAAGAGCTCTGCGTCGGAGGCAGAGATGGAGCCAGGGCTATCTGGGAGTGATGCATGGACTCCGGAGCCCCCAGAGTCAGACAGCAGAGGGGCACAGGAACAGGAGGAGCCTGTTCCTAGTGCACGCATGAGAAGAGCTGCCAGAAGGCAAGAACAGCTAAAGCAAAAGGGACAACTCGGGAGTAAGGCCAGGAGATGATTGGCACCTCCCATAATGCTTAAAAGAGAAACAAAGGCACTTGGGCCTTTTGTAGGAAAGCAATGTTGCTAACTCTGTTTCTAGTCGGCATCTCTTGTTTGTTTCTGAACTTCATGGGGTTTTGCCAAGTAAGGCCTTTGGCAGGGTGTCAAAGAAGATAAAGGTTGGTGATTATCCCGAAGGACTTCTTCCAAAGGACTTGTTTTGCAACTAGGTTTTTACATGGGCTTAGGGGCCTGCATTACTGTGTATGCTGCTCCATTCTAGACTAGTCAAAGTTTCTGGATGATCTTAATCCAAAGTAATCCAAATGGGAGGTGACTGATAGCTCTTTAACCTTTATTAACTATGGCTAGAGATGTTTAAATCTGCAAATGAAATCACTTTGCCAAACTTAGCTCTGTTTTTCTTACCTTGTTCTTCCGTTCTCTTTGTTACTCTGTTGCTCCAGTCACTCCATTGACCAAACCCATTAACCTTACACCGAACAGCAACTGTATAATTTGTAAAATTCCACAGGCCAGTGAGATTTAAAGATTTTTCTGTCTCTACTCTTTTAATCTGGACATTGGCGTAGGCCTAAAAATAAATAGAATTGTTGTTTCAATTATCATGGTAAAAGCTTACACCGAACTACTACTATATAATTTGTAAAATTCCACAGGTCAGTGAGAGTTAAAGTTTGATTTCTTTTATCTTCTTTCAACTGGATGTGGAGATCTACCTAATAATAAACAAAACTGTTGTTTCGATAACCATGATAAAAAAGAATAAATATTGTCATACATCCTGATTTCCCTAGACACAGCTTTTTTTTTTTCAGCCGATGAAAGCTCAGTCCAGTTGGGAATGGAAAATATGGTCTCTATTTATATAAGACAAGCTTTTACTTCACTAATTGAGAGTGACCGGTAGTGGAGGAGGGGTTTTTTCTTATCCTGAATGATAAGAACTGAAGCTCTTCCTTGCCATTTGTCACATTGTACAAACATTACTGATAGATTTGCCTATGGACAGATTTCTGCTGAAGGCATAAACACTTTTGAGCTGTACAATCATCAACATCCAGGCTTGGGTGTCTTCTGATGACTATTCAAATTAATTATTCCCATTAATTTATTTTCAAACTCTACTCCAAATTTATTTATTCCTCAAACTATTTTTTCCTATTTCCAATTACTCCAATTACTTTCCTTTATTTTACAACATTTAGCACGAATATTTCATTCTTATTTTCTGTTTATTCCACCTTTTAATTATCCTCTCCATATTAAAAGCCTCTGATGACCCGAGCTGAGTTGCCTGATCGGCAGAGGCTTTTTTTTTTTAAAGCCTCTGACGATCCCAGCTGACTTGCCTGATCGGCAGAGGCTTTTTTTCCTTTTAAAAGCCTCTGATGATCCCAGCTGAGCCGCGCGATCATCAGAGGCTTTTTTTTTACTTTTAAAAGCATTTTTTCGGTCAAAGAAGTTGTAGAAAAAATGCTTTTAAAAATAATTTAAAAAAGCCTCTGATGATTGCGCGGCTCAGCTGGGCAATGGGGGGGGCAGGGATTTTTGCTACTGGTTCTCCGAACCACCTGCCGCCATCGCTACCAGACCGGGTCTGAACCGGGAGCATTTCAGCCCTGTTGTAAAGGTTAAAAACTGTGGAAAGAAATGACTACATTATTTGGGGATTCAACAGGCAACAGAGAAATTGGAGCACAGTCAAACATCCACAATAGATTTCACTAGAGTTGACACAGGTGGACTTTATAATTTCCAAGGTGGTTTCTACTTTTACATTCTATGATAATCTAGTTTCCAGCTTACTACCATAAGCCTATTATCACTTCACAAATGCTAAACACTGAATGTCTCCTCATCTAATATTTGAGTGGAGTTGATCTTCATTCAAAAGCATCCAGAGGGGAGAAAGAGAGAAATACGAACATCTTCATCATGATATACTTGTGTTAGATATTATGATGCAAAATGATGCAAATATACACATCACTTCATTTAGCTTGTTCGGGACACCACTATCTTTATTCTCACTTGGGGATGAAATTAAAATACTTGGGAGCCTCATTCTCAATGCCATCATCTAAGGAACTACTTACTTCTGCCATCATCCAAGAAACTTCTTACTCTATTTTTAATTGATTTGTTAAAACTTATATCAATTAAAATTTGTCTTACAGAAGTATTTTTTGTTGTGGCTTGGTACCGAATCTGGCACATAAAAGGATCAAAATTTGGTTCTTCTGGGTTTCTTCTCAGGTCAACTCTTAACATTTCCTTCATCCCTTTTACTTTCACTATTTCAGGAGGATCAGGTTTCACTAGAATTGAGAAATGAGTGGTAATCTTTCAGAGGTTAACGTACAATTTAACTATAGTCAGCAACAGTTTAACAGTTTTACAGTTTTACAATTTAACTATAGTCAGCAAGGAGCCTTGGTGGTGCAGCGAACTAAAGTGCTGTTAAGTAGCACTTAGCTGCCAGCTGCCTGCAATTACTGCGAGTTCAAATCTCACCAGGCTCAAGGTTGACTCAGTCTTCCATCCTTCCGAGGTAGGTAAAATGAGGAACCGGATTGTGGGGGCAATAAGCTGACTTTTTATAAAAAGAACACCGCTTGGGGGGGCCAAAAGCCCTACTAAGCAGGTATATACAAAAGTATGAAGGCTATTGCTTAAAGCATTGTAAGCTGCCCTGAGTCTCCGGAGAAGGCCGGCATATAAATCGAGCCAATAAATAAATAAATAAATAAATAAAGAAATAAATAAATAAATAAATAAATAAATAAATAAATAAATAAATAAATAAATAAATAGAAAACATCTTAATTTAGGGTGAAACAACTAGATGGGAAACCCAGGTCTGTAGCAATCATTCTAAGAACTATACAAAGTGACCAAATTCATCTAGTACAAAGCTATATCAACGAAGGACTGCAATATTTTTATCTGTTTTCTGCCTAGTATTCCAGATATCCATAGAGAAATGCCATTCAAATCCATCGTTAAATCCTACTCAAGAGTTTTAGAAATCATCTGGGTGCACAGATATCCAGGAATGAATTATCATACTTCATCCCAACAGCAACTAGAGAATGCAATGAAGTAAAAATTGGCAAGACTGTGAATGGAGTGTTGCAATATAAACTCTGTCCCATTTGAATGGGCAAATGGGTGCCCATACCCAAGAGACAGATCTTGCATCACAGACTCCTTTTGTAGGAAGTGTTGCATCAGCTCCTTCATTTCACAATTGTAACAACAACAAACTATCAAATCCCTCTATAGCAGGGCTCTCCAAGCTTGGCAACTTTAAGACTTGTAGACTTCAACTCCCAGAGTTTAAGACACAATTCTTAAAGTTGCCAAGGTAGGAGACCTCTGTTCTATGGGGACAAAAAATACATTTAACATATTTTGAACATCACATATGTATTCCCTAAATTACAAACTTAACGGAAGCACTGCAAATTCGAATATAGAATAATAAGATTGGAAAGTCTTCTAGTGCTACCGTCCCACTGCCCAAGGCAGGAGATCCTATACAGTTCTGGGCAAATGGCTGTCCAGTCTCTTCTTGAAAACCTCCGATCATGGATCTGCCCCTGTCAGAGGCAATTAGCCCCGTTACCTTCCTGGGGTAATTGCCTGGATCGTGGCATTTTCCTTGTGTATACTCTTGAAAAATAAAACCGGAATACATCTTCTAATTAAACTCATATTTATTGCAAAGAAGAAAATAAAACATCTTACTAATCTAAAATAATTAAAGTGTTACATTATGGTAAAGTTCCTACCAGCTACTTCTCAGCAGCCGGACTTCTCTTGGCAAGAGAACAAAGAAAAGTGTGAAGTAGAAAGAAAGGAATGCGGATATGTGTAGTATCAGTTACTGATAAGAAATTTTGGCAAGCTACGGAAAGTCTGACAGTCCAGAAATATGAGCTCAGCTGGTAAATATAAAAACGCAGTGACAGCCCCAACTTCCAGAGGCAAGCCACTACACTGATTGTTCTCACTGTCAGGAAATTTCTCCTTAGTTGGATCTAGGTTGGATCTCTCTTTAATAATCTGCCACCCATTACTTCTTGTCCTGCCCTCAGGTACTTTGGACAATAAATTAATCCTCTCTTCTCTGTGAAAACCTCTCAAGTATTGGAAGATTGCTATCGTATCATCCCTAATGCTTTTCTTTGTTAGATTAGACATACCTAGTTCCCTCCCTTCAACATATGGTTTAGCCTCCAGACTTGAATTACAGGAGGCTCATCTATTTTCAGAATTAAGAGGTATCATGACACAGATACTCTAATTCAGAGCACACACTTTTACATTTTTGGAGGGCCCTAATAATATGATAAATACATGGTCTGAGATCACTTTTACAAAAAGGTCTGTGTGTGCAATATTGGGTGTTCCTAGATTCACCAGTGTTACATCTCTGTTGTGTGAACTTAATTGGTTGTGGCTACAATTTAAGGTGCCAACTGGCATGGTATGAAATTACTTGTGGGACTGCCTGTCCCTGAGAGTATCTATCCATCTTTTCAGATTGGATTGGGTAGGCACACTTTGCCTTAAATCTTGCCATACAGGGGAACCTTGGAAGCAGTGGTGGGATTCAGCCAGTTCGCACCACTTCGGGAGAACCGGTTGTTAACTTTCTGAGCAGTTTGGTGAACTGGTTGTTAGAAGAAATCATTAGGGCAGAGAACCGGTTGTTAAATTACTTGAATCCCACCACTGCTTGGAAGCATATTTTTTTTCTGTGGATATACTACCTTATGAAAACCCATAATGATTTGAAAACCCACCTCCCGCAACATTTTAGCTTTTCACATCAAGTCCTGACTTTTTATCTATATGCTGAGATAGAATGAGAATATCTGGAACTGGTTGTGAGGCATCCCAAGGGGATGTTTGTGATGCTGAGTTTTGTTCTTATGGTTTCTGATTTTATAATTATTGCTTTTGTTGTTAAGAGTTACCAAAGTTCTGTTTAAGAAGAGGGGACACAAAAATATTTTAAATGAATGAATAAATCTAATAAAGAAGAATATTTGTAGTCAGGTTTGAAATGAGGGGTCCTTGGTGCTCTCTGACCATGACTGTTTTCTTGCAGATGTTTCATTACCCAGCTAGACAACATAATCAGTGCTAGTAAGGGATGGAGTTTGCTCTTAATTTATATTCTAGTGGCTTGCCTTGTCAGTATTGGGTCAATGTTGGTGGGAATGGTCTTGGAGGGTCTTTTTGGGCTATTATATTTTTTTGGCAGTTCTGTTTGGGAAATTGTTTATTTGTTGATTGTTGGATTGATGTTAAACTTGGAGTTAATCTGTCCTATGCTCATCTGGATGTTGATTGCTGGTGGGGAAGTATTTTGGTCTTTTTGTTCCCTTTTTGGCTTGTTGACTTAACAATAATTTTAACTGAGAAATTGTGACCATCCTAGACCAAGCCAAGACCAAAAAAGAGAAATTCTAGAGAATTTCTAGAAGCCTGGCACTCTGACAAATTAAGCATCAATAGACATAAACAATCTCTACATACTGTGCAAAAGAGACAATCAACAAGCCAAAAAGGGAACTAAAAACCCAAAATACTTCCCCCACCAGCAATCAACATCCAGATGAGCATAGATTAACTCCAAGATTAATATCAGACCAACAAAAATACCCCAATCAAGGAATGGCCAAACACACTAACAATAAATAGCTCAACCAAAGAACATCCAAGACCCCCCCTATCAATACTGACAGAGTAAGCCACTGGAATATAAACTGAGAGCAAGTGCCACTCAATACTAGCACTGATGATGTTACCTAGTTTGAGTAATGAAATGTCTACAAGAAAACAAGCTCAGAGAGCACTGAGGACTCCTCATAATTAAATCTTTTATTAAGTCAAGAGTTGACTTACATAGGTGGTTCACACGCTGGGGAGTCAAGCTGAATGCTTCTTCTCCAAAGAGTTGTACTTTGACTTGTGTAACATAACTCATAGATGGAATGTATTTTGCTATACATGAACCATTTTTCATTGTACCATTTTTGTCATTTGCTGTTTTGCTCCCATTGCTGAAGTACCTAAAGAAAAGTAGATTGTTATATTAAAAAAATCTGAATTAAAAAAGTCAAAGATCAAGAATTTTATCATGAACCAATCATAGAGTTTTTTAGACCTGACACAATTTAGGAAAAAAATTAGGCAAATTTTGCCTTTCATTTACAGATGTGACGAAACCCCATGAGTTTTAAATAAATAAAGCATAAGTTTTTCTCCCATACAAAATAATATGCCCCCAAATCTGCTAAGGTCAAAGTAGAAGTGTTAACTAAAGATCGTTTCATCTTGTTTAAAACAGAACTGCAATTGGTAATTAAAATAAGTTCTAAATAAAGTCAAATACTATGTGTCCAACACTGTAGCAGGCAGAAAGTAAAGCAAGACCAGCATGGAAGGTTAGCAAGGATGCTAACTGAGCAAACAGGAACTAAAGACTTCAAGACTCATCTTTTGGTTATCAGATACGTTTATCAGTGGTGGGTTCTCTCCGGATCGAGCAAACCGCTAGTGGCGACTGCGCGGGTCTCTGCCCACCCGCCCAGACGTAATACGTGCCTACTGTGCATGCGCAGAAGGCCATGTGCATGTGCAGATGAGGCACATGTGGTCACATTTGCGAACCGGTAGGGAAGGTAAGTGAATCCCACCACTGGTTTAACTCATGAGAAGTATGTTCCTGAATGTAGCATTACATACAAGAAGTTCTATTTCTTAACTAGGCATTTTGCCTGGTTACCCCTGGAATTTTTCTCCTCTGGCATTTTCTTTCCTAAGAGGTAAATAAGATCCCACCAATATTTCCATGTGAAGAGTGGAAGGTTCTTGTCACCTGACATTTTTCTAACAGAAGCAAACCTCTATTATATTATATACAGTAATAGGTTGTGCAAAACTTAAAAGCAATGTTTGGCTGCAGTGGTAGGCTAGATAAGAGCCAATAAAAGAAAGATGGACATCTCAGGGGACCAAACATCTGCATAACTTGTAAAGCCCTCCCAGAAGAAGTCTACATTCAGCCCAGCCCAAAGTCTGGGAAAAGAATCAGGTCTCCAAGGCAAAGTTAACGGACAGCAAGCTTTCAATCGTCACATATCTGGGAAGATATGTTCCATAAAGCAGCCTCTCTGACAGAAAATGCACCTCCTGAGTCTCATCAGATGACATTGTTTAATGAATGGGACCTGGAGCATGCCAATTCTCTTTGACCTTGCAGGACAGGCAGCAGCAACAGAGAAAAGGCAAACTCTCAAATGAATAATCTCTACACTGTATAGATCAGGGGTCTCCAACCTTGGCAACTTTAAGACTTGTGGACTTCAACTCCCAGAATTCCTCAGCCAGCGAAACTTCGCTGGCTGAGGAGTTCTGGCAGTTGAAGTCCACAAGTCTTAAAGTTGCCAAGGTTGGAAACCCCTGGTATAGATGATGGTCATTAGTTGATTCCACCCCATGATCACCATCCAATTGCCACTTACCTGACTATGGTAACACTGCAGTTTGTACCATTGGGTATTTCTCTTCCAGAAGCCCAGCTACAATTAAGATCGTCATTGTAATAATAAATGCAAGAAATGTTTTCAGGTTTCTGTGGCAAAGCTGTAATTCAGTAGAACAAAAGAAAAACTGTCATCAGGCATTATTTAATTGCTTTACGGTCCTCTAAATGCTAAAAGTATTTCCCTGAGTTATTTTCCTCATTTTATTTTCAAACAATAACCTGTGAGGCAGGGGTGAAATGCTCCCGGATCAGACTGGAACGCCCGATCCGGTAGCAATCTTGGCCAGTGGTTTGGCGAGCCGGTAGCAATGGAGGAGCCCCACCCATCCGCCCAGGTGTCATTACTTCCTGGTTTTAACCAGGAAGTAATGTGATTTTTACCTTCTGCGCATGTGCATGTGCTTCCAAACCGGTAAGGAAGGTAAGTAGATTTCACCCATGCTGTGGTGTTCAGCTAGAGCAGGGGTGTCAAACTTGCATCGTCACGATGGCGTCACGTGACATATCGTGACTTTTTTCCCCTTTGCTAAACCAGGCCTGGGCATGGCCAGCATGTGATACATTTGGCCTGTGGGCCGCAAGTTTGACAGCCCTGAGCTACAGAAAAGGAGTGACCCAAAGCCATTCTGTCAGTTTCCATGACTGAGGGGAGCCTCTTCAGTTCTAGTTTTTAACCATTACTTCACACTGGCACCTTTCATTTCTAAAGGGAGAGCTTTTTAAAATAAATATGACTAGCTTTTACATTATACTGTAACTCCTACTATAACCCCACCGTTTTTATTAGGAAATAATATTGTTCCACGTCTATCAGCTTTGAATTATCTTTGGATATCAAGATTTATCTGTATTCTGTTAAAGAGGATAAATGACATACAGAACAAAGGATACACACACAAAAACATTTTTCACTGTGCCAATGAAAATCTTCCTTCTGCCCCAATTAGCTCCAAGAAACAAATTCCAAATATCAAAAATATTCTTAGCCTTTACCAGGGATTCAATTGAATAAAATTGCAAAATTTAAACTGTTTAAGGCAGTCCTTGTTTAGCAACCTCAAATGGGACCTGCAACTCAGTTGTTAAGTGATCCGATCCTTAAATGGAAAATCACATGACATCCAATTAGGCTTTCTTTTCTCCTTTCCCCCTCCTTTGAAATGTTCACTTGGGTCCTGGGACAATTTGCCAGAGGGGAATTAATGAATGTATTTACATTCATTTGAGAGGAAGGGGTTACAAAAAAAATAAAAATAAAATAAGCAGGCACACAATGAGAAATACACATCCAAAGGAATGCACTAGTGCCGGCTGTTGGCCTACCTCAGGGGTCAGCAACCTGCAGCTCTGGAGCCGCATGTGGCTCTTTCATCCCTCTGCTGCGGCTCCTTGTTGCTGGTTGGCTCCACAATTGATAGGGCTTTCGGTTAGGACAGATAGAGGAAAAAGGAGGCCACGCTAGGATGAGACTCTATGGTGGGGGAACCGACTTCCAGTCAGCAGAGGAAAAAGGACACCGCTCTAGGAGGAGACTATTATGGGGGAACTGGACTTCCAGTCAGCTCCAGAATTGAAAAGGGGCTTCTGGTTACGACCTTTGTGGCTTTTTGAGTTTTTAAGGTTGCCGACCCCTGGCCTATCTACTGCATGTTCCCAAGCCACTTAGAAGGCAGACAAAGCCTTCTAAGTGGTATGATACCAAATAGTCTTGTCAATTACAAGTACAGCTGGGGCTAACTAAGGCCACAGAGTTGATCTTGTTAATCTGCAGTTGGAAACTTTTGGGGAAGTGCTGGGCTTTAAAGAAAAACAACTCAGGAAACCATCAGTGTTTAAGCAATCTTGCCACTCTGCGAGTGAGGATGGGAGAAAAAGACCACATCAGGCACAGGACAAAAACACACTGAGTGACTATAATGGTGAACATGTGACTGAAAGTCACACTGTTAAGGCCTTGGTTGTGAAATTATTATTTTTTTCTCAGCACTGTTGCAGCTTTGAACATTTGGAACACAAGGGCTATACAAGGACTACCTATACAGGTAGTCCTTGACTTACAACCAGTTGGTTAATGGCAAAACTGCCTATTTGGGAGAGGGACCTTGCACTTATGACCGCCATAAAACAGTAGAAAAAGTTGAGTCTGCTCATGTGATGCCTCGACTTATGACCGCAATGATTTATGACTAAAATTCCAATCACAACTGTGTCATAAGTCAAGGACTATCTGTGTTATTAGCCTCAATCATTGCTAGAAAGAAATACCACCAACTTTTATACTACCTGATCCTAACAGTTCTAAAAATTAAATAAAAATTAAATGTAATCGTTTTCTGCAAATTTATTTAGCATTGCAACCCAATGGTAAGAAACACATAAAAGATTCAATTTACCATTTAAGCAGAATTTGCAAAGTACTGTCAAGTTCCAAAGCACAAAAAAGAATCCTTTAATTTGGCTCATTTTGCAAAGGCTGGACATTCTGTAATAAAATATAAGGTTTTCTTGTTAGATTTTTTTGCACAAAATGTTAGTAGTTCTCTGCCTATTGAATTCATAAAACCTAAGCATTTAATAATAGTAACTTTATTGTCATTGTATGTGTATACACAGTATACCCATACAACAAAATTCACTTAACACCCAAAGACCAGGTCGAACACACATAACAATCCCCAAACACACTCGCACCCACCACAATTCCCCACCCCTAAACCACCCAAACATCCACACAACAGACCAAGTTTATATATAACAATCACATAAAATATAAGATAGTATTCTATATGCATACAATACACCACAATTGTTCCAATCCCCTCACCTCAATTTCTTATTCGTAGGTTGGAATAATTCTCCTGTAATATTCACTACATACAGTATTTTATTAAATATGATTAAATATACAGTTAAACATCTTAATTGAATTTGAAATTATGACAAGTGGGAGGGAACAATAAACATTGTGCCTCACTTTCCTGCAAGATAATAACTTGTTATTAATACCATGTATTTCAAGGCTAGAATCTGAAAAAGAGCTCTGATTATGAATTGATCTTCTTCACAGGAATAAAACCTGCTTCCTATGATCTTATAGAACATTTAAAGATGAATGTATTATTGTATAGGTGAGTCATTAGGTAACAGTAGATTTAATTATATATAGCTTGAATCAAGATATTGTCATGGTTGCTGTCCTTTTATCTGAAAACAGAACTTCTGATTTTACTTCTTAGTTGACATGTTTAGATTTCTTTAATTCCTCCTTTATTATTTTTTATAAATAACTCAAGGCAGTCTTACAGAAGCCACACATCATTACATGCCACAACATATGTACAAATGATAAATTACATGGAAATGGCCAGTAATAACATGGCATCAAGAATATCACTTATCCTTCTTCCTTCAACATTAAGGCACACTATTTAAGGTTCTGCCCAAGAAAAAAAGAAACAGTAAGAATTTAATAATGAAAAATTATAGGCAAAATAGATAAAATAGAAAAATATAGGTTAGATAACATCACCACCAGATGGATTCGTAACTAGCTGACCAACCACACTCAACGTGTAGTCCTCAATGGAACTACATCTACATGGAGGGAGGTATGCAATGGGGTGCCCCAGGGCTCTGTTTTAGGCCCAGTACTCTTCAACATCTTCATCAATGATTTTGACAAGGGGATAGATGGGGAACTCATCAAATTTGCAGATGACAACAAGCTAGCAGGAATAGCCAACCCTCCGGAAGATAGGCTTAAGATACAGAAGGATCTTGACAGACTTGAACAATGGGCGCTATCTAACAAAATGAAATTCAATGGTGAAAAAAGTAAAATTCTACACTTAGGCAAGAAAAACAAAATGCACAGGTACAGTATATGTGGTACCTTGCTCAATAGCGGTGACTGTGAGAGGGATCTTGGAGTCCTAGTGGACAATCACTTAAATATGATCCAGCAGTGTGCAAAAAAGCCAATACAGTTCTAGGCTGCATAAACAGAGCAAAATCAAGATCATGTGAAGTGTCAATACCACTTTATAATGCCTTGTTAAGACCACACTTGGAATACTGCATCCAGTTTTGTTTACCACGATGTAAAAAAGATGTTGAGACTAGAGAAAGAGTGCAGAGAAGAGCCACAAAGATGATTGCTCCAACAAAATGCTCCAACACTGGAAGTTTTTAAGAAGAGATTGGATAACCATTTGTCTGAAGTGGTATAGGGTTTCCTGCCTAAGCAGGGAGTTAGACTAGAAGACCTCCAAGTCCTTTTCAACTCTGTTATTCTATTCTACTCTATTCTATTCTTGCCCCAAAACTTTTAATTTTACACAGCTTGTTATTGAAAGAAGCTTTTTTCCCCACATTCAGCCCTTATCTACAATGAGTCCTTATTCAGTCTTCAAATACTCCCCCATGGGCCTGACTTACCAGTTACAATTACTTGTACTTTGGGGTGGTAGAGAATTGGCAGTAGCACTCTTCAATATAACTTGTCTATACATGATAAGTATCAGAAGACATCATAAAGAACCTTGTATCATATGAAAGAGCTATTTTTTTTTCAGATTTTTTTTAAGTTTGAAAGCTCTACGCAAATTGTTCTGGAGCTGCAAAAGTGGATAGGGTATTAGAGTTTGTGAGTGTTTTTTAATGACTTGCTTTCACAAGCTGCTTTGGAGATAATTCAATTAAAAATTCATATTTCCAAAATCAATAAATAGAACTTTCTACAGGTTATTAGAACATACTGAGGTCACGTTAATTAATGCAACTTGCAGAAATTCTGTCCAACAGTTAGAACATTTTATGTGGGCTTCAATTGCTAATAATAATCTCTCCTTGTTTTCACTGCCCTTCAGTTCTTAGAGTAATACTGATGTTTATAGTCATGAGTAAACAAAACAATACTCTTAGGGACTGATTTTTCTTAGAAAATATATGCAGGAAACACTATTTTATTTTCTCTTAAGAAGCCTCGGTCCCTTTGTCCTTTTTCAGACAGTTTTTCTCCACCTCTTTCAGAAGGTGTATTGTCTCCAAATCCTTTATTTGGAGACAATCCAAATAAAATGAATTGATATTAATACAGTGTAAGACTTCTGAATCCCTAGTGCCGCGTAATGGAGTGAGCTCCCGTTACATGTCCCAGTTTCTGCCAACCTAGCAGTTTGAAAGCACATATAAAATGCAAGTAGAAAAATAGGGACCGTTCCGTGGCCCTTTGGCGTTTAGTCATGCCGGCCACATGACCACAGAGACGTCTTCAGACAGCGCTGGCTCTTCGGCTTTGAAACGCAGGTGAGCACCGCCCTGTAGAGTCGAGAACGACTAGCACATATGTGCAAGGGGAACCTTTACCTTTACCTTTAAGACTTCTGGAATTACTTAATTATGCGGTGTCTTCCAGAAATGGAACGGCTATAATTATTACATTAAATTATAATTTCAAATCAGAATCATTACAGTTTTTACTTTATAATCTCTTACTTAACTTTATAATTATAACCATAATTTACAATACTAATTTGCCACATGAAAACAAACCATGGTATGCAACTTGTAATATTGTGCCAAATTATTTCAACTTCTTTGCATTGAACTTTGGTAAAAGTGCAGAAATTACCTAAGCAATTTATCTCAAATAATATGTTTTACTAGGTGTACATATTTGTGTTACAAAATTGTAATATAAAATATTTCCCCATTAGAGCAGCAGTAGTAGTAGTATCTAGGAAATGGAAAGAAAAGTTTACTGAGATTCTCCTCTTAATAGAACATCATAAAATGATATCAGCAATTAAGTCAAATTTCACTTTAAAAGGAACTCAAATTGGATATAAGAAATCACCAAAGTCATCTATTTGTAAATATTATATGTTTAAAAAAAAACAAATTCCACATCCAAAATGAAAACACACATCTTAAAGCTGCCAAGTTTGAAGAACACTGTTTTAAACTAATAGTAATTTTAATTCTAGGACAAAATTTGGATGTTTATAGGAGCCCCTTTTAATATGCCCTTTCCCTTTCCCTGTATAAAAAAGGACAAGCTAGTTTAATGAAAAAACTCATAGGACTTTTATTATATTTCTTATATTTCTGCTAGCTATAAAGAATTGTTTTAGCTACCAAGTTCAGACATAGTTTAATAAAGGGCTGATTTTATATGCTTTTCAGCATATGGAAAACTTTAGAAAAATCCTCAAACATTATTTATTTCTAGTACAAAAAGACCTAATTCCCCAGAATTACAGAGACTATGCGGGAAGTAGGTCTTTTTGTACTAGAAATAAGTAATGTTTGGGGATTTTTATGAAGGATGTGGGCATCCTTAGCTTGAAGATTCTGTTGTGGGACCTCAGCAGTAAAACTGTCCCTGCTTTATCATGGGGAAGTGAGGGTGTTTTTTATTTGTTTGTTTTTTCACTCTGGAAGAATGGTGGGCCACTTATCTCCATCCAGGGCTTGCCCAGAGAAATGGGAAGGATGACTTTTACCTAGTGCAAGTCCCTAGCTCCCCTACTGGTCCTGAAAATCAGTGGCAGGGACTAGGGGCTGCACTCATAGGACCTTCAGGGGCAACTGGGGCAGGAGAGGCCAAGCTGATCTCCAAAGGCTACACTACAAACTGCTAGACCTATGTTGTGTCAGCCAAAAGGAAAAACATTCCTTTGGAAGCCAAGCAGGAAAAGATGGATAGAAGCTGCTTTTGTGGTGGGCTGGGATTGGATTGAGCGTAAAGTTCTGCATTCATGTCTTCCACAAATCATCAGTGACATGGCTTTGTGCTGGCTCAAGCAGATTCCACAGTCATTGCTGGTTGTTGTTGTTGTTGTTGTTTTAGGGGGGAGGGGAGTCTTGTTCCTCAACTTTAAGTTCTACTTGAAGGAAACTCCCTCATAAGAGACTGAGTTTTGTATGACCTAACTTTGAGTAGACTTGTAGCTGGGTTGATATAGCAAAACTCTGTGCTGTCACTTGTTTTTATAAGTTTCTGCTGGCAGAGAGTGAGGTAATTGATTAATATAAATATGAGTTGAAATATTTGTCCCATTTACATGTCAAATACTCATCAAATAATTGTAATACACTTCCAAATCTAGTTATCGGTTCTGCTACCTATTTGTTGGTAGATGGGTAAATACTTTCAAAGAGAAAAAGAAAAAAAAATAATAGAAAATGATTGCATGCACAGTACAGATAGTCCTTGACTTACAACTGCAATTGAGCCGAAAATTTATGTTGCTAAGTGAGAAATTTGTTAAGTGGGTTTTGCCCCATTTTACGACTTTTCTCACCATATTTATTAAGCAAATCGCTGCAGTTCTTAAATTAGTAACATGATTGTTAAGTGAATCTGGTTTCCCCATTGTCTTTGCTTGTCAGAAGGTCGCAATAGAGGATCACATGATTCCAGGACACTGCAACCGTCATAAATGTGAGTCAGTTGTCAATCATCTGAATGTAAATCGCGTGACCATGGGGATGTTGCAACGATCATAAGTCTGAAAAATGGTCATATCACTTTTTTCAGCGCTGTTGTAACTTTGAATGGTCACTAAGTGAACTGTTGTAAGTTGAGGACTACCTGTACAAGATTTATACTGACTTTATAAAATGATTTAATGTGCCTGCTTTCCCTCCAACTGTAATACAGAATACTAAATGCCAGTGCGCACTCTGCAATTCAATAAATTCTTCTGGAGAACTTAAACATTTTTTAAAATGCTGCTTTTTATTGAAATAAATAGTATTGGGAAATGCTGGATAAAAGGTTATACCTTATTTGTTGATTCTTGAGTTGACCTGGGATGGCCTTAAAATTATTTGAATTGTTAAAAAAATGAATTGCCAAATTAATGGAATATGCGAACAACTTCAGAAGAATCTCTTACAGCACCTTCTTCTACAGAAAGGGCCTCCAGCTGTACTGGACTATGCAGAAAGTCCTCGACTTATGATCACAAGGGAGCCCCAAATTTCCATTGCTAAGCAAGGCAGGTGCTGATCGAGTTTTACTCCATTTTACAACCTTTTTGCAACAATTGTTAAGAGAGTCACTGCAGTTAACTGAAACATGTCATCATTAAAACTGAATCTGGCTTCCCCCTCCAGGCAGCTGCTGATTTACCCCATTTTACAACCTTTTTGCAACAGTTGTTAAGAGTCACTGCAGTTGTTAACTGAAACATAGCATCATTGAATGAATCTGGCTTCCCCCCTACTTCCTCCGTTGACTTCGCTTGTTGGAAACTGGATGGGAAAGTTACAAATGCTGATCATGTGTCTTTAGGATAATGCAACTGTCATAAATATATGCCAGTTTACAAGTGCCCAAATTTTCATCCATGGGGATGGATCCTAAATATGAAAAACAGTCCCATAACTGTTTTTCAGCGCCACTGTAACTTCCGTCACTACACGAATGGCAGTAAATCAAGAACTACCTATAATTCCCAAAATTCCCACCCATGAATACAGTCCAATTCTTCCCAAATGAATTCCCCGTTTCAAATTTGCGCAATGCATCCAATTGAAAAATCCAAGGAGGGACAGTCAGATGGGTGTGAGCCCAGGCGCACACATAGGCACACGTACACACCCACCCACCCACACCTTGGGCAACTCAGAACAAAGCTAGAGGTAAGCTTTAATTTTCATTTTTCAAAAATATCTTTTGGGCTACAATTTTAAAAGATTTCAGACGGTTTCTCCTCCTTCTCCTCAGAAGATTCATCAAGAACCCAACCTTGAAAGGAAACGGGCAGGCTGTCCTAAATTTGCTATCGCTTCAAACGCCCAGATGAAGAGATGCAAGGCTTTCCCAACATTACAATTTAACTTGGAGCACCTTCTGGAAAAAGGCTTTCTCGGCTGAGTCCAGGAGGAGGAGGAGGAGGTAGAAGAAGGGAGAAGAGATTGGAGGAGCAAGATTAAAGTTCCGTTTCTCCGAAAGAGATGATATTCCAGGGAACTTGAATTCCAGGGAACTTGAACAAGAAGCTGAGGGAAAAAATATGCAGAAAGGGATCGTGCAAGAAAAGGGGAATCGGAAGAAAAGACGGGGGGAGGGGGGAGGAGGAGGCTGGCTCGGTGGTGGCGCGTTAAGCAACAGGCAGGAAGTGAGCAAGAATTATTTGGAAGAGCTGAGAGTCAAAATGGGGTGGGGGAGGTCGCTTTCTCTGCGCGCTATTAAGAGTTCGGGGCGCACAAGCGCACTTGCTTCGCTTGCCGGACGCGTAAGAAAACTGCAAGACTCAGGTGAAAGATCACACACACACACACACACACACTCAGCGCCCGGATAGCCATCCGTCACCAGTTACCGTCCCGATTTCGGCTGCTCACCTCCAACCACCGCAGGAGCCGGCTTCACTTTTCTCAGACGACAGGCGAAATGACTAAGCCTCAAATGTGAAGCTTTCCCACCACGGCTGAAGTTCCGCCTCTGGGCTCAACCTTGCGAGGAGCCGCCTGTTTTTTCCGCTTCTTCCAAGCGCTTTTTCCCGTCATTAAACTTCGGGGAAATCGGGGCCTGGTTTCATCATCGTTGCCCACAATGTGCGGGCCAGCTGTGAACGGCCTTCGGTTCACAGGTTTTCGGCCCGGGAAAGTTCTCAGAAATGACTCGAATGTATCTGGCTGCATGCAAAAACCCAGAGAGGCTTCAGATGCTTCACCAAAGATAGACGTGCTAAGACATTTCAGAGGTTGTACTATGAGAAGTCCACAAAGTCTTGATGGTTTTCCCAAAGGTGCTTTTTCAGGAGGCAATTGGATTTATTTATTTATTTATTAGTTTGATTTATATGCTGCCCTTCTCCGGAGACTCAGGGCGGCTTACAATGCTTTTAAGCAAAAGCCTCCATACTTTTGTATATACCTGCTTAGTAGGGCTTTTGCCCCCCCCCCCAGCGGTGTTCTATTTTATACAAAGTCAGCTTATTGCCCTCACAAACCGGGTCCTCATTTTACCTACCTTGGAAGGATGGAAGGCTGAGTCAACCTTGAGCCTGGTGAGAATTGAACTCCCAGTAATTGCAGGGAGCTGGCAGCTAAACACTACTTTAACAGTAGTTTAGTCCATTGCACCACCAGGACTTTCTTGGTTTTTCTTTGAAAATACTTTCAAAGAATTGAAAGTATTTCCATTCCATTTCTTGGATGAGAAGCAAACATTTTTGCTTTTCATCCAAGAAGCTTCTTCAACTCTGACAGGATGGTGGGAAATGGAAGGATTTATATTCCTTGCAGACAGCTGGTCGTTTGCAATCCTTTTAGAGAATCGTTGAAAAGTCTACTGACTTTTAAGTCTTGATGGCATCCACTGGAAGATTCAAATATTCAAAAGTGACATTGCTGCGCTGCTAGAAAAAGAGATGGCACTTGGGACTGAGTCAGAAAACAGGAGATAGCGAATGTTAACATTTAATTTTTAAAAAGGAACCCAAGGAAAAGCATAGGCCAGTCAGTTCAATGTCTGGTTAATACAAATTGATAGAAAACACTATCTAGGCACAAAAGGGGGACAAACCCTCTATATTCTTTTATATCAGCACAGATGTTGCAATATCCTTCCTACAGCAGTGTTTCTCAAACATTCAGCTCTCAAAACTCAGAAATATTTTATCCTAATACAGATTGAAAGATGTTTTTGAACAATAGACCCAAAAATTAATTTTAAGAGTTTCTGCCTCTATAGATAGATTCTGTTTAAAAGATGTTATGGAAAAGGAATAAGTTTTATTTGACAAGATTTGAGTCTGATCTGAAAGTGGATTTAAAAATGACAACTTAGAAGAATGAAATGGAAAATGATGCTACACTGGATATACAAAATAAACTAATATGTGGATTGCTTCTTTGATTAGGAGGCTTTAATCATGACAACCTAAAAGAATGAAATGGAAAATGATGTTACACTGGATATACAAAATAAACTAATATGTGGATTGCTTCTTTGATTAGGAGGCTTTAATCATGCCCTAGTCACCTTCTGAATAGACTATTGTAATGCATTCTAATTGGGGCTCCCCTTAAAGAGTATCTGGAAGCTTCAATTAGTGCAAAAAGCAGTGGCACAGACTGTTATCTGTGCTCCTAGAATGGCACACATTACATCAGCTTCATGAGCTGCATCTGCTTCCAAGTTTAAATTAAGATACTGGTTTTGAACCTTAAAACCCTGCATAGCATGGGGCCAGGTTAGTCGAGGGATTACATTAATGTACCTTGGATGGATGGATGGATGGATGGATGGATGGATGGATAATTGATTTCCAAGGTTTTTGACTTTAGACTGAATTATGTATAAATCTTATTTTTGTCATCAACTGGATGCACATGATACACTAAACTGTAACAACCAAGTTTGTACGGTACACTGAGGCAAAATTAAATAAAATGATATGGCGGAATGATATAACTTCATTACTGCTAACAAGAGTTTGTACAATTATTTATATAAATTTCAAAATACTGTCAAAACAAAAATAACATTTTTTCACAGAATGTGATTAGATACCTTTGGGCATTGCATCCAAAAGTATTTGAAATGTGGATGAATGTGGATTTACAGGCAAGTGTTATGTATAAGCTAGGTTGACAAAATTAGAAATGAGGTGATAAACCACCTGGGAAAGCCAAAGGAAATCAACAAAACCATAAAAAAAGCAAAAGTTAGACTATTTTGGACATGTGATGTGACACCTAGAAAAATACAGCATACTTCACTTAATCCTCCAGGAAAAAAATGAAGGCAAACGAAGTCCAGGCAGAAGAACATCATCATAGCTTTAAAATCTAAGGAACTGGTTTGGACAAAACTCAGCAGCACTTTTTTGTGCACCTGTTGATAAAAATAGGGTCGCCAACATGATCGCCAACGCCCGATAACGGATAAGGCACAAGAATTGCATCCATATCAATTTTCTTCTTACAGTGTAAATTGCAATATGCAGAGTCCGTGTGTATAAGTAGCCATCATGACCATTTAGTGACCAAGCACTGAATAAATGGTACCTTTGCCCACTCTTCAAAGTTCTGTCTGTTGCAGCATCCCAGAGGTTATGTGGTCAAAATTTGTGCACTTGGCATCCTGCCTCATGACTGCATGGGCACTTCAACTCTCCCTACTGCTTATCTGCAGCCCCCATCTCTGCCCTTTTGACTGCCCTGTACAATGGTGATCCTTAGTAGCACAATGCCCCAGCTGAAGTAGAGATCCAGGGCAATGGTGAAATCTGAACTGATTTTGTTACCAGTTCGCTGGCCATACATGCGTGCTTTGCGCCAAATGCATGCTGTGCGCATGAATATGCAGTGTACATGAATGCAGTGCGCACCAAACGTGCACTGCGCACATGCACATGTGCAGTACACGCCAAAAGGAGGCTCGGGAAGGTAAGTGGAAACAAGGGATCAGTTGTGGCACACTATTTAGCTTTGTTAGAAAGCAGGATTTCCTGCTTTCTAGCAAAACTAAATCCCACTGCACAGTTGATCGTTGGAAATACCAGTTTTTTAAATTACCAGTTCACCCAAACCGATAGCTAACTACCAGTTCGCCTGAACCGGTTGCTTTTTTAACTAAGTTTGTCCAAAACTGTTGGGTTTTTTATTTATTTATTTATTTATTTATTTATTATTTGAATTTCTATACCGCCCTTCTCCTTTCGAACTCAGGGCGGTGAGGTAACTACCGATTCGCCCGAACCTGTAGTTTTTATCACTACCGATTAACCTGAACCAGTGTGAATTGGTAGCATTTCACCCCCTGTCTAGGGCCCTCAAAGTCTTAGCTGGCCGCCATTGGTTTCGGGCCTCTTGCTCAGTCCCAGTGTCATTGTCATCAAGGAAGGAATGCTGCTTCAAGCCCCACACTGTGACCAGACACTCCATTGCCATACACAAAGTTAGAGCCACCTCTGCCACCTTGCAATCCACCAGGTCTGCTGCCCTCAGCTGATTTTCACTCTTTTGTTGCTGACAATGAGGACCAAGCCTGGCTCTATGCAAGGCAGTTGCTAGCTGTGCCAGCACACCAATGGCTAGCCTTGCCTTTCTTACAATGCTTTGGAGGCCTTCTAAACAGCAGAAAGTCACACACCAGTTGTTCTCTTAATTGTGCAAACCATTTTTGAGATGCTTCCAAAAGCAGGGCCAGTGGAGCAGAGGGCTGCAGGGCCAACAGAAGCAGTGGAGCGCAGGGCAGCCAAAAGGGCAAAGATGGGAGGGGGAGGTAAGGAGGGGGAGGGAAAAGACAGCAATCCCTTCCCTTATTGAAGCTCAGGGCTGGGAGGGACCAAGATGGGAGTAGTTTAGATTAAGGTGCATCATTGCTTATCGACTGGTGTATTGCCATCACTAAACAATGCAGTCACATGTCATTTTATGACATCATTTAGTAATGAAAATTCTGGTCCTAATTACCATAATTCAAGGACCGTCTATATATAAAATTATTGTTTTCCTTTGGGTTTTTTTTTTTAAATATTAAGTTACCATTTAACAGCTCTGTCCTGGGTTGAAACCCAGGGTAAGGAATATGACAAGCACATGCTTCTGCTAATGGTATCAACCGCCACCCCAGCTATCACATTGAGTAGCTCAGGCAGGGTCACTGCCATGTGGCAGGGAGCCAGGTACATAGTCAGCAAACCCATCTGCACCCCATGACCCCACTTCACAAGAAGTGACTCACATCCGGCTATCTGAGGAACAGTGGCCTCCCTCAGACAAAGACTTTCTCTAATAATTGCCGCTACCCCCACACCCCTCCCCAGAGCCCTCGGCTGATGAAATGCATGGAAGCCTGGAGGGCACATTTCAACGAGGGGAACCCCCCCCCTCCTGGCCCAACCAGGTCTCCGTAATCCCAGCCAGGTCTGCACCCCCCTCCATAATAAGATCACAAAGGAGGGGGGCTTTATTAATTACCGACCTGGCATTACATAACATCAGTCAAGGACCCAGGGCCTGAACTCTGTGCAATCCAGGACATGAGCCACGCTATGGGGGTATATCAAGTGCCACTGTAAAGCGTCTGTGGGTT